AAAAAGGAAGTATATATTCAAACATCATTCCAATAATACAATGCTAATTCAGGATCATAAAAGCAATCTGATTTTTCATTATGATTATCAGTATTGTACATTATACGTGATTTATGAATAAAGATAATGTAACCTAATGACATTTTAAGAAATTCATTTTAGACGAATAAAAGCAAACATTATTCCCTATCAGTTTTGATTGTGTATTTGAAAATGGTATGTATTAATTCTGTAGTGTTTCTTCAGGAATCCCTAGAAACTTTCTAGAAAAAAACATACTTCAGAAAGAAGCTTGACCATGACTAGTTTTTATTATCAAGAATTTAATTGTCAATATAATGAATAAATAAAACTGTCTGTCTCGTTAATACACATAAACCTAATTTATTCTAATACAACAAAAAATGGCTCAATTTAAAAGTATGGACATATTCTAGGTTGACGACCTTCGAAAACGCAGTTTGCTCTAAGTTTAAAGGTCTAAATAAGAGTCACTGAGACAAATCAATTTGTCTACAACTATTAATTCAAATATTCACAAATACTCTTTGATACTGTATTTTACCACGTAAGCAATACGACTGATCCCATGAATTGTACATTATGCACTGAGTACAGCAAACGTTTAAGGATATATATCAAAACTTAGGAAAAATGAATATAAGGAAGACAATACTTACGCAACATATTTATACTAATCATCAATCTTTAATTTATGCAAATGGTAATCTTTCGAAAGTGACTGCGGTTTACAAGCGAATTCTATCAGACAAATATGTTTGGACGAGATCAGAATTTCACTACGGTGATTTAGAAAGTTATCACCTATGTGATCACGTAATAATAATTTCAAAACTTCAAGTACACCAATACTTGACATTCCCAGTATGAGGGTCCGCGAAAACTGTTGAATGTTAGTGATATCACGAACTGAGGTAGATTAGATGACCGTTGAAAACCGGTTATCACTGAAGAGCGATCTCATCCCAGTTCGTGTTAGGCTTTCGCCACGACAACTGAAGATCTCTGCTTCAATCTTCTGTGGGGTCGCTGTTCAGTGTTTGCCGGTTTTTGGTGGCTGTCGTGAGTAGGTTACTTCGTGATCTCAATAACATTTAATTTCATACTGGTTTATGCCCTCAGCACTGAAAAATTTGTTAAGGAACATCGTTGTACCTACTTTACTTTGTGCAGCCAGAGGGTTTGTTAGTAGCTTTCATACAAATGTATGTGACAAAGTCCAGTATACAAATCTGCTCATAGTTATCAAGGTATGCTAGGAACAATTGCTTGAAACAGTTAATATCAAAGAGGTTTCTTCTTTATAATAAATTCCAATGAATACACGCAATAAAGCTCACTTTTATCAACATGGTATCTGTATTCATTGACTTTGTTCCAGGTGGCAAACCTGCTGACATTCTTTGGGCTCTTCGAAGTCTTTCAACTTCAGATTGTAATTCCTCTACTTGTTGATGTAGGTCAACGCGTTCAGAAATACATGAATTCGACGACCGATTACGAATTTCCTTTTTATTTTGCTCCATTGTAAGATCATTTGACTCATCAGGTATGGCACCTGGACCCCATACTTCATTGACTTTCTCTCTTAAATATTCATTTTGTCTTAGAAAATAAAAACATAAACCAAATATTCAAAGATTGATCTGGTGAAAGTTATTTGCTCGGGCATAAGATGTGTAAATTCGATATACTGAATATCAACTCTAACACCTGTTTGTAAAAACTCGTAATGACAATAGTTAACAGTCAACTAGCGAATTAATAAAGCTATCACGATTTAACTAGATTCGAGTAAATCAGTCAACAAAATTACTCCCGCTATTTCGAAAGTGTGTAGAAAAATCCAAGATACGTCATGTGCCTTGTCTACATGTTAGCCAATTTCCAAAATAACTGTAGATATCAGCACTGAAGTCACGTGGTTTCAACTAAACGTGTTGTATAGTCTAGCATATCGATTGCCTGTCACTAATTGACTAGAAATTTAATGTTGTTTAAGTGTTATTTATTGATTTTTATACTTCTTACAACTGGCCTTTGAAGTTACCACTAGTTAGTCGTTTATTCGGTTTCAAATACATTCAAAACCTTTAAATTTAATGTCGTAGTAATCCGCCTGAATTGCTTCATGATTGTAGTGTGTTTGGATGTCAGAATAGTTATTCAACCAACTTTGTCAGATTTTAGTTTTAAAAAAGCAATGAATTAAGGCACAACAAAAGAGATCAAAACTTTATAACATTAAATTTTCCAATGAATAACAAGTAAACTATCCTGGGAGTTCATCTGGTAAGTTTCTTCTGACACCCGCATGAATGTAGGACTTTATACTAGGCTTTTATATCATTACTGACTTAATCATTACTTATCTTAATGGAAAGATATCGAGACATTGTTTCTTTAATGGACAGAAATAATGCACTAACATAAAGTCAAATAAGTATTAAAGTTAGGTTTTCATACACTAAGCAAAATTTAAGTCCAGTGATACTGAATCGCGTTATAGGAATGATAATAAGATATAACGCTTCAAAACTCTTCGGATTAATAAATATCTACATAAATAATCTAATTCAGCCGCAAGTGAATAGCCTTTGGTTATTATTAACATACATTGTTATGGTTTCCACTTTTAATCCTCAAATCGGAAAGTAAAATGTACCCTTTATAAGCCTTTTATCAAACAAATTCACTGAGAGACTAAACACAGAAAATAACCAAATTCAGTAACTAATGTTTGATGTCATATTCATCAATTGTCGATGAAATAGTGAGAATGTAGACTTCTAAACGAAATAACTATAGTCAACAAAGACTACGGTGATGTTATTTTGCTCAAAATTTATAGTTTTTAAAGAAATTTTATTTCTAACCTGTTCGTTCGTTCAAGGGCATTCCTTGTTAGATCCAATTGTTTTTGAATAGAAGTGAATTCTGAACTTTTTTTACTTAGTTGTTCTTTTAATTTATTTATCTCAGCTTCCAAACGTTTACGTGCTTCCCATTCATTTGTTAAGCTTGAACGCATATTAAGTGATATTTTTATGTCCTAACCAGAAAATATTCAAAATATTATAAAATATTATAAAATCAAGTTAATCAGTATCTTATATGGAAAAGGAAGATATATATATTGACGAACATGCAAACAAAGTAAAAAATGTTTGTTAAGATGTTTTAATCCTATCCAGATTTCTTTATCTCCCAACTTCCATGGATACAAACTGAATTCCAAGCTCTTACTTACTTTACTTACGCCTGTTACTCCTAATGGAGCATAGGCCGCCGACCAGCATTCTCCAACCCACTCTGTCCTGGGCCTTTTCTAGTTCCATCCAATTCTTGTTCATTTTTCTCATGTCTATCTCCATTTCCCGGCGTAATGTGTTCTTTGGTCTTCCTCTTTTCTTCCGTCCATGAGGATTCCGTGTGAGGGCTTGTCTTGTGACGCAGTTGGGTGCTTTCCTCAATGTGTGTCCTATCCACTTCCAGCGCTTCTTCCTGATTTCTTCCTCCGCTGGGATCTGGTTTGTTCTTTCCCACAATTGGTTGTTGCTAATAGTGTCCGGCCAACGGATCCGAAGTATTTAGCGTAGACAACTGTTAATAAACACCTGTATTTTCTGGATGATGGCTTTCGTAGTTCTCCAGGTTTCCGCCCCATACAGTAGAACTGTCTTGACATTTCTATTGAAAATCCTGACCTTGGTGTTGGTTGACAGTTGCATTGAGTTCCAGATGTTCTTCAGTTGTAAACATGCTGCTCTTGCTTTACCGCTCCGCGCTTTCACATCTGCAAGCTCTATCAAAGTCTAATTGTCATAGAAGTTTTAACTGCTTGGCGATACTAGTAGTCTGTACTCACTGCATAGGTTAGTTTAAACTTCCTAATTCTAATAAGCTAATATTAAGTTTCATGGGACTAAACTCTTGATAATACATTTTTGAGATTAAACTATAAAAGGACCGAGAATGTTGTCTACCAATTAGTATGATCTAATAAGCATAGTAGTATCATTAGTTTTTCTTCTAATTTACATACCTCACAAAAGATAAATAGAGAGAAGGAACATTACGTTCTGATTAATTCTTCTATGATAATAACTATAATTATGATAAAACCGATGTTGATTAAACGGTGGTGTGTCAAATATTAGTATTACGAGTTCAAAAGTATTTATGAAAATAATGACAAGTAACTGATGACATATCTAATAGCAGAAAGTCAATAGGTTAATTATAATGTTCGGAGTTATTAGAAGCTAATACTCATAATAATAACGTAACAAGAATTAAATTGACCCGTTACTGATAGAGTATATAATGTCTAAAATAATTGAGAAGAACAAGTCGATAATTCACCAAAGTTACCTAAGAATGAGGGTAGGAATGTTACGATTATGTAAGAACAAAATAACATGAGAGAATCTGAAAACTTTGGCAAAAAATAAAGGCTAAATGATTCGAATTGATGAGGAATAATTCATCATTTGATTATTCTTTTTTATCTAGTGGAAAAGTTTTAGTTTGTGAAGAGGTACCTCGTGACAGTTCGGAATCACATAACCTTGTCACTTTAACTAAAACAAATTAGCTAATGCTGATAAGAAAAATTACAATATGGTTTACAACGTTTGGTTTAGTTTATGAAGGAAACTAAATGCATAGAAATTTTAGTTTACTACTTTGTGCTAATTTGAAAAATATTCTCACAGTTAAAATACTGATACGAACCTTCTCATCTCAATGAATTGGACGATTATCTATAAATGTAGCTACATACTGTTGCATAATTAAGTCGATTATGATTTTAAACTTTGTAGTGTCAAATATCTAGCCAATCTATGGTGTAAATTTATAGTGAAAAAGAGTAATCTAAAAAAATAGAATTACAACATACCCTGTTATCTTGATATGGTTTTTCAGGTATCATTCGAAGCCTGTTGTTTTCTTCTTCAAGCATTCGATTTTTTCTTATAAGTTCATCAATTTTTTGTTGTGGCGTGTTCAACGTCTTAAATCATGGTAGAATTATTGAAGATCTCATTTTTATATTGTTATGAAATACAGTGATGTTTATTTTCAATTTAATTTCCGAAAATATCTATCGTCACGTACCTGGAGCCTAAACATGTCTTTGACTTTCAAAGACTATATTTCACAGCCATAGTATAATACAGAGTGTACTGTTGTGTAAAGTACTCGCTTTAAAGCCTATAGGCCGATATCTCAACTATGCCACAAGTGCAGCAAGTTGGCAAAGGTTAAACGGGCCTTCTGAACTTGTATCGTATTTCCGTCAGACATCAACCCAAAAGGGATGAAGAGATCTCCAGGTTATTTGGTGTGATCAACTAGTTCACACTCCATCACTAGTTAAGGATTTGACGCAGATCAGTCGTAAAGCAACATTTTGCACTTTAAGAGGGGTAAGAGTATCTTAAACATGCTTTTATTATTACTGAAAGTGTTTATAAAACGTTGCATTTTGCCAGTGTCTTAACCGAACAGGACTGCATCGGAAGCTGAAAACTGATGGATATCTGTTACATTCGTTAACACTATTCATCTCCCCCTAGTTTTCAAAAGTCCTCAAGCTAATATCAGTTCCTGAAGAAAATTATCCCTTAGTCATATTACACAAAACATATTCCATATTTCATAAAAGAGCAGGACTTGTTCATTTGATGAGATTAAAAAAAAGATTAAATTACAAGCGATATTATCTGATGTATTGCATGCAGTTCCAGAAATAAAACAGTATGATAAGAGCACTGACTGACATCGGATTACGATAACTACATGTACGATTGTTTTTGCTCCGACCTAACTGCAGCCTGATTTTAACTCCTCAAAGAACAGTTACCGATGTACGCAAATCAACGAAACGCGGAAGAAAAAGAAAATTTACAACGAGACCATCAAATGATCATTGATTCACACGTTTGATTCCATACTTATCATCGCCCCATTCTTTGTTTATATACATATGAATTGATCTTCTTTTGAGGATCAACTCAAAGAGCCTTCGTTCTGCATTGTAATCGTCACTATCTCGGTATGCTTAATAGTTTCCTCGCATTTTTTGGATGGCTGAACTTATATAAAAGTGGTAAACAGTGAAACAAAACCAATAACTACATCGTTTTACAAGTCATAATTGAATGTAGAAAACTATTGCAATCGATAGTTATAACTTGTATGTCTACCATTCACCAAAATGAAATTAACGAAAACAGGGTGATTGACAAAAAATATAGCACATGATTAGGATTTATAGAAGGAATATGTTTCATAATGATTACAGCACAATATTTTAGACCATACTATTTGTATAAACCAACCAAAAGTTTTTCTTAACAAACTTCTTGTTCATATTCAGAATGTGAAAAAAATTCACAGTCTTAAGAGTGCGTAATACGTATATTGGTGATATAAAATTTACCAAATTATGTTATTTGATTATCAGGCTTAACATTTTTATAGGAATACATGGCGAAGAAAATGTGAGATATTTTAAATTTTGTTCAAACGAACATGCTAGTCTGTCTAAATGACAGATAATGAGATTTATTACCTTCTGTAGCATTGCAATGACTTTACGTGTTTATTTTAGCCTGTTGACTGTTTTCAAAACAATTTTCAAGGAAGTCAATTATATCACTAGATGTCTACATAGAATTATCAAAAATACATAGATTTTTCAAAGGTTTTTTCAGTTATTGTGCTAATTCAGTATTAAAATATTCAACATTTCTCACACATTTCTAGTTTTACACCCATCCGTCACAAAAGAAATCTGGTTAGATATCTCACAACCAGAGCAGGAAAAATCTGCTCAGATGATACCATAATAACACACTAAGGGAGATCGGTTACCTGGGTTTTCTGAAGAAGTATGTGTATGAACTCTAAAGATAAGTTTGAGGTACTGACCACTCGCAATATGCTCCTATTCCTTAAACTACAATTCAATGGGAGTACGGCCAGCGATTTCCTGCATGGTTAATTAGCAAGGGCAATTAAAATGACATTCTAAGCAACTAAGCTTGCGTTGACAACTCCTCGTAGACCAGTGATATCTACTCAAAGGATAAGTTACCTGAGCCTTCCTCCTTGACTTCTATCTACAAATTCAGCTGCTCCTGCATAAATAGCTATTTTGGGCGTGCTACTAGACAACTTAAACAACGAATGCGTGAACATCTCCCAGCTTTGTTCGAAAAGCGTCAGATAAATGCAACATGTAGTTCTATCTTGTCACATCTGGTTGACAGTGGACACGGTAGATAAAATCGAATCACTTCGGGCGATCTATCGTCTACCTTCGCATCTCCCATGGAACTCGGTTCCATCTAACTCAAGTAACAGGAGCTATAGAGATCCAGACCTATAACCTTAGTTTATGTTTTAAGTCGACAGTCTTGACACCTCTCTCTTTTCCTTCGCCGGATATAACTTAATAAACGATCTTATCAATTTATTCATATTCCATATTTATTTGTCATTTTTCACTTCTTTCCGTTTATATTCTTCAGTATCTAATTATTTATGCATTTCCTATTATGTAGTCTTAATAATTTTTTGTAACTATTGTTTATTTAAGTCTGTTTATCCAGGTTTAACCTACTTCCAATGTTGAACTAGTAACTAGAACTCTTGTTACGTTATTATTATTCTTATTACTATTAGTACACCTGTCTTCATACTATCAGTTTATACTTTTTACCTATCTGTTTCATTATGATCATTGACTTATAATTTGACTTCATATTTTTATATAAATAGTCATGTATATGTTTCTTCACTCAACCGTTATTCCATATTGTTTTAGTAAATGAACGAGATAGGTATCACAATTGTAACAAATCTAATAATAAGTCAACTATTAGCATTTCTAGCAGTTGATCGATGAGGCGGAGTTTTTTTCACTTCTAAACCTGATTCACACTCTGATGTGATTTGATACTGTCTAGAAAGTATATTGGATGAAGAAGTCACTGATTAGTAAACTTCGTCATTATCTTGTTCTAGTAATGTTCAAATTCCATCAATTAAATTACGTTGTGATCATTAGACCAAGTGTTGGAGAATCGTGGTTATTTTGTTTGTATTTAAATGTTTGGAAGTGATCACTGGGGGATTACAGAATCGCAACTCGTAGCAGTATCAACTCGTCAGTATAATAATCTTGAACTTGAGTTTTTCACAGAAAATTTTGAATATAACCAGCTATATTTCAATATGACGAAAGATATTTAAAAGATTCTGACTGTATTATCTAACCTACTCTAGTACACTTGATACGTTCCAATTGATTGTTCAAATTTTTGCACTCTAATTCCAATTTTTTGTTTAAGTCTTCGAGTTTAAGGATTTTCTCCTTGTCTAAAATATAAAAACAAAACTTAAGTGAATGAAACACGGATAACAATACCGTTGAAACCTACATAAAAATCTTATTAGGCTTACATTATTTATATAGTTTACAAACAGTCACATGATCTAGTTGCTATATATCTACGTTAGTGGTTACTGATATAAATAAGCTCAGACAAACGTATTTTCGAAAATATTCTGCTTATCTGATTCCTTAAGGAACAGAAGCGTAACTGTAACCATATTTTCAGGAAATAGCAAACTAATTCTGTTTACTTACAAACATGAAACTACGACGAATGGGAGCTAAGGTGAACTATAGAAAGTCAAATTTCAAGGCACTACAGTTAAATAATTCACGTAGGTTCATAAATTCTAAACGTCAAATAAGGTTGAGGATATGGAGCGACAATTTAGAGAAAAAGGTTGGTTCTTAACTGATTAATTATTAGATGACCATGTGGATATTAGGCCTAAATGATAAAAGATATGGTACTATGAAGCGTTGGATAGAAAAATGAGTAGATTATGTGGGGAAGAAGTAGAGAACCTATAGCTGCAGTCATTAATAAATGGTCTTTTCGATTAATCTAGATTTACAGTACGAAATATGCCCGTGTTCTGCAAGAAAATTATCCTAAAATGCATAGAAAAACACTAAGTTATGAATAAATATAGATACACCTGTGACCTAACGTCTCATTGTTGATATGTTATTATGCTAGATATTTGTTAAGTAGCACAAAGTAAACAAATTATTTATGTGAAACAAGGTAACCGATCGTTATGCATCCTGACTACGTACAAACCGTTTTCTCATTATTTTCTTTGCATGGAGACCAAATACTTTCAGCCTTTACTCGATTTTTCGTGCGTCAAATTAGTGCCTACGTATAATTCAATGTGATCAGACAGAGTTGTTGCTGTTTAGAATTTCTAAGGGTAAAAATCAGTTCTCTACTCAATAGCATTTAAGTAGATAAACCTTTCATAAACGCATTTACTCTTACCACTTTACTAGAAAACATAGTTTATAATTTATGTAGAGTTCTTTCGTGAACACAAATACTGAATAGCTGGTATAATATAAAATTCAGTAATCTTTCTGTCATCCCACAATAAGAAATGGAGTGGAATGTAGTAGTCATACAGAAAAGAAATCAAAACGTAACGTTGCATGAAACTCCCCTTTTATTTTTCTAACTTGTGTTATTTCCTCTATTTTCTCATAGTGGAGTTATAAGTATAAATTTTCAGTGAATATACTAAAAATTATTCAAATGGTTCCCAATAATTTTTATTCTATCATAATCGATAGAAATCAAAGAAAAATGATAAATTGTATGATTAGCATGTAAAAATTACAAGCTAGTGGTTAACTATTCAATCACCTTTTGAGATTTTCATTTCATGATTCGTTTTCGCAGATTGAGGCAGGATGGCAGACTCTATAGGATTTGCGCTAACTGGTGAAACGACGGTTTCATCAACTGTTTTGCTTTCATTCACTTCCTGTAATGGTGGTGCACATTGAATGGGCTGCATTGAATTGGTAGCTAGAACAGCTTGCTCCGCTTGTGTCACAAGATCATGACGTAGTTCTCCTAGTGCCTTGGACAAAGCCTTTGAAAATAAATATATGAATCAAACTTTTAGTAAACTAATCATGCTACTTGTTAGTAGTTAAAAAAATAAGAGAAAAACAATAAGTACTCGAAATCGCTAATCGTCACATAATTAAAAAAATTCATGTCATTGTGTAATATTTCATCATAATACAAGGGCTTGCTGGGATAAGATATACAGATTAACATATCTTTTTATTTTTAGTCTGCAGGAATTACTACTAAAACGGTTAGGTCACATTAAAGACAATATTATTTATTCAGAAATATAACTTGTTGCTGTACGGGCTTGTGGAAATTGTTAAATCCTTGCAGTTTACATCACGGACTGACTTTAGCTCGACAATAATTCAGAGGCGGAATGTAGTTCACAGTTTCTTTTGTCCTAGTGCCAGACATTTTAGAGGTGTTCAAGCACTTCGTTCGGGGATCAAAACCAGGACCTTCTGGTCTCGTGAAGACCGCTTGACCACTAGACAACTGATCCAGCCTGATCCTGACTGACTTCAAGAGATTCTCAACATTGCGCGAATTCTGAGGAGTCTTACTTTAGGAAGAAATGGGTGTCCAATACTTCCTGATTTTCAGTGGTTGCAAAACTAAGATCAGTTAGTGGTGTGAACTGTGAAAATGTAATTCACTTAAAATAACATGAAGAATACTATTTTAACACAATAATATTTCAACACAATGGAGGTTATCATAATACTTCAGATTTATTTGTATGATGTTTGCTCTTTAGATAATTTGAACGACACAATCAGAATCTATCCAGTTTTATATGATTTCAGTATCATATATTAGTCATCACTCCTTGTTGGTTGGTTTAAATAATAGTGATATTTTAAAGAGATAGTTTTGGGAAATTTGCGTATTTGTTTGTTGATGAGATTCAGATACGGGAAATTCACTACATAAATGTATCTTGTAACTCAATTAAAAATATTAAAAATTTATTAATCAATAGTTGATGACGAAAATATACGCCAAAACTTGCTTATTCTTCGTATCGGATATAAATTAAACCATAAGTAATCAGACGTTCTTTGGAAGGTGATTATGAAATGCAGTGTGTAGATTTAGACTTTAATAAATTGGGATCAATGAATCATGATTCATCACCTTAGCAAATCTAAAAGATCCTAGTATCATTAAGAATGAAGTTGTAAGTGTGGGTAAATAATTAAGTATGTAGCAAGAATTAGACTGCCATTAAGTGATTTTAGGTCTTCAGTGGTTCGTTCCTTGAAATTATTTGCCGCGAAAGTCAAGAAATAATCTTTTCTCTCCAGCCAAGTATAAATAATATGAACCTATTAATTCTTCTTACTCGAATTTGTTTATCTTTTTCTAGTAGATCTGTACGTAACCGTTCAGCTAGTTGGCGTTGCATCACTGATGGTGATTTATTTGCTTCAGCTTTCCAGCGTTTAACTTCATTATTGTATTCACTTAATTTTACATTGCTTTTATCTAATTCTTTTTGTAACTGTTCGATTTGTGATGTTAGTTTCATTGTTTCTTCTCTAAAATGAAGAGCAAAAAGTACTGAGTTGTCAAATAATAATTTTTTTGAAAAAAAAATCGTAGTCATCAAACAAAATGAAGACAATTTAGTGTAGAAAATTCTCTTTCTCGATGACGAAAAATCACTTTTTACAATGAAAATTGATAAATTGTTGAGAAAATCTGTTACTGAAATTACTAAAACCAGTTAGACAGAACTATTTATTATCAGATTATTTAAAAGTATTAGTTTTATAGCGTCAGGTATTGAGGAGTATCTTAAACAAACTACAAATAGGTTATTAACATCCACCAGTACTTTTCTTGAATCAGACATACCATTTGATTGAAAAAGAACTATCCTCATTTCAGACGTTTCTTTTCACGTCATTCCTATAGAACACGGTGATTTATTAACTACTTTATTATGTAATATTCCTTCCTGTCAATTTTTATTATACTGATTAATTATTGACAAGGTAATTTCAAAAATTCTTCAGTGTTCAATTTTACATGATCCAGCATCGATTAAACTATTATTCAATCGACAACAGCTATTGAGTACAGTTTATAAAACTTGTATGATATTACAATATATATGTGAAAAATTGTTACCTATGCAAATTCTCCATATTCGCCTTCATAGTTTCAGTTTTTGTTTGAAGTTGATTATATTTCAATTGCCATAAATCACATTCTTGTCGTATGACTTTTGTTTGTTCAGCCTGACGAAATACAGCTTGATTTTGTTCATTTAACGATTCTTCTAATTCATATAAACGTTTCTTTAATTCCATTAAGTGTACATTCGATATTTCATTCCTGCCAACAGACTCAACATTCTGAGCTAATTGTAATAACTGTTCCTCCATTTTGTTTTGTAGCTGTATGGATAATTTATTTATTTAAATAAAGAAATCACAACTAAATTGATTTTGCTTTGAAAGAAGCGAAAGAATCATCTATAGTTAAATAAAATAAATGTGAACATAAATATCTTCAGGTATCTGTCAATGTTAACAGTGTTTGGCAGATCCAGATTCGTTAAAAAACAAAGCATGTTTGTTTCATTTTAAATAATTCTCTTAGATTATATTAGTTCCCGAGAAAAATTTATTGTCAAATTCTAATTACTTACCAGTAATTACATTCGTACTGGTAAGTTTAGGATCAATATGGAATTACTTATCGTATACTTTAATAAAACAATGAGTTAAACTATAAATATTTTATTTTTTTTGCCTGTAATATAACCATATATAATAACAATCAATTGGAAACTAAAACAAAACAGTTCTTCAGTGCATCCTGGTTTTCGACGATTGTCTAACTGAAATTTAACTGATGATCTACATTACGATAATGAGTTTTATATATATTGTGTTATCAGTAAACTACCTGCTCAGCAAGTCATATAGATTGTTTGATACGGCATGAAGGATATTATGAACAGATCACTTGTTCAAGATCAGTTGTTACTGAAACTGATTGCTATTGTTAAGCATTATTTTCATATTATCCTTAATAAACCAACGTCAAAAATTATAGGCAAAAGGGTAAGGCTTAGATCGATACAAATGATCTTTAAATAGAAAATTATTACGTAACAAACATCATTTATACCTACTGTGAGTAGAATAAAAAGTAATTATTAAAATGTTTTTTTTTCTTATTAAACTTACTTTATTTTGTAAAATAGCAATTTCTTGATTATGTCTATCATTCGATTTTTCGTTAGCTTCATACGCTTGTTTAAGTAGCTCATTAACTCTTGCAAGACTTTCATCCTTTCCATTTAATCTACGTTGCAATAATTCCATATTAGCTCGTAAACCAGCTAATGTAGATTGAATATCTGGATTTTGTGTAGTAGAACAATGATTGATAGCATTTTGTAATTTGATATCTTGCAGATGCAAAAGTTGTAACAGTTGAGTGAGCCGCTAAAATTCCATTCAAAGTTAAGATAATAACAAGATGGAATCTAACAATGAGAATGTATTTATCAGATTGACTTTTTAAGTATCATAACATCGAATAATTAGGTATTGATGTTTGATACCCTGATGCTTAAAACATTCAATCAGTGTGAACGAAAACATCCCTCAAAATAGTTGGAGATTTAAAATTTTTGAAAAACAGTCAATTTAATGTGCCAACATTGTTTTCTTCTATGTATGGAGTGAAAATATGACCGAATCAGATTTTGTGGTTATACTTACTTCATTCAGACGAACTGTTAATTATCTTTGGTATTTTCAATTATTCAGTTAAACAATGTGCGCATGAGACACATCTAAGATTCGAGTCACTCAAGTGCTTCAACAGGCCACTCCCAGAATTCATTTTGAATGACGGATAGTATCACTGATTCAAAAATATCAGGTGGATAATCTCCTTATCCCACCAGGTTAAAGAGATTAATAAAAGCAATTCTTAATTATAGTCATAAATATGTGAATATTCTGTCTGAATAATAAATGATCACAAAAACTAGAAATATTCAAATTTGACTATTTTGCTTCCAAATGACCACGATTGTCTGACTGTTGTAAGTACTTAGACATCAGTTATATATCCCTTTTAATAACCAAAAACTAAACAAAACCTGTCTGTATTATTTCAGATTGCTTTAAATTTTCAAATGTTCATTTTAACTACTATTAATATTTAAATGGGAAAACTATGTTAAAGTATAAACAGTTTTATATTCGATAATTTTTCGATTATATTTTCCTTGAAAAAGCTTGGACCAGATTGCCAGGTGAAACGTTGGATTTACTTCAAATTCATTCGCTGAGATTTTACAAATATATATTCTTCCTCTTTAATGACTCACATTAACTCGGCGCCCAAATTTAGACGAAAGTTCTTATTTAGTATAAACAGTTGTTTGAAATTTACCAGGCAGAACCAAAGTTATGGAATATTAGACGTCTTATTAAATAATAACCTATTATAAGACAAAACTTGATAAATATTCTTTAGAAATATGAGATGGTATGACATTAGAAAAATCATAAATCTCTGTACATAAATAAAATACTTTTCTAAGTGTGGTATTTTCATTTTTCAGTTTATTCATTGTTTGATGATTATAGTCTTGAACTGATTCTTCCACACACGTAGACAATGGTTGTTCACTATTTAATGGTATAGATTTGGAAAGTTCGTTGAAGTTATCTTTGTGGTCGACTTGGTTACAAACAGTCTCAATATCTTCATCTGCAAGTAAATTAGGTATGGATTTAAATTCATCCATATTTTCTGTGTTAATATACTGAAAAAAATTATAACAAGAAAAGGCAACAATGTGACTTGTGAAATAATGATACCAAACTAATAAAATTTACTGATTACACAAAATGTCAACAAGCGACAATAATTTAGATTAGTATGGTGTAAGTTCCTTTATTTGTCAGGCTATATACAGAGAGAATACGTTTATGAACAACAGTTTTGTCTTACATTTATTATACTTTGATTATCTTCCAGTAAAGATAAAAGCTGCTCCTGTTGAAAATGGTAAACACATTTGTCACCATTCTTCAAATGTAGGTATGAGCGATAATCGCATTATGATTATTAATCTCAAATGAATATCAAAATTCCTTTGGCATTATTAAGTGCTTCATCACTTGACCTTTGCTGTAGAAATAAGAGATTGAAACAAAATAACGTAAATCAAATTGTGGGTGGCCCTAAAAAGGGCCTTTACTCGGTCTCTCAACAGTGCAGATTTTCCTGAAGGAAGGCGTAACCTTGAGTTGGTTATAGCGCCGCACATGGGACAGTGCACTTCACGTACGTGTGGTGATGGGTCGTAAGCATAAAACCAATGAAACATAGCCTCGCGTGGACAAAAAACCCAAGCAGCTTCATCAGCAGTTTCATGTGGAGGCTGTGCAAGATGACATATACCACACAGTCTGTTGTAATGTGCATGTTCTTCAGTGTTGATGTCTCGTTCCATGAACTCTTCGGAGTTAATAGAAAACTATTTCCTCCTCGTCATTACTGAACGTTTCATCCAAATCGGTGTCGCCTTGACAGTTGGTAACTGAATTCTGTTAGATAAAGGGCACTAGAACATGAGTGGAAGTGATGGCCTTGGTGTACAACTCAGTAGCTGCAGATAAGTTCAACGACGTTGGAGGCATTCTACCGTGAACAACTTGATAAACACTGTTATACACCAAACTGCATTGTTCTTCGTACATTTGCCTGACTAAGTCATACAACGATTTCTTGACGCTTGCCTGTTGTAATTGGATTGGGAAATAATTATCAATCGCAATAATGGTTACGTTACTGTCCGACTGTAACCACCTGTCACAAATCGATTGTGCGTTCACTTCAGTATTACTGTGTGTGCAATAGGCCAAAATGTGATGACATGGCATTTCGTTTTCAATATAAAAACTACAAGAACAGCTGATGGTATTACGGGAGACCGTGTAAATGCCTGTAGCGTCAACAGCCGTGAACAAATCCACCGACATTACGACCTCAGTTACAGGAGTGCGCAGGTGCCGCTTCAGTAGTTGACATGCAGCTGGTGTCAGTCGTTCCTGAAGACGACGTATCTGTGGCTCCCGACCGATAGTTGTTTTATTGCGACAGTCAGGTGTATACTTTTGAAATCGTGCTTCCATCCAATATCCAGTGCGAAGTAGCACACTGAATATAGATCTCAACACAGGTGTTCTTCTATTCACTTTATGCATCTTCAGAATTCGATGAGTTGTCTCAACGAAGTCGGTATTATTCTGTTGAAGGAGAGTCGCTGATGGTCGAAAAGCATTTAACCACTTTTGTTTTTTGGGCAGCAAGTGATCTCTCACATATCGGTAAACGTTTCGTCGGATGTTTCGATTAACAACAGATAATGGTTAAAACTATAAAATAATGTTATATAGATTTTGATTCACCTTTCCACATTTCGAGTGAACATCAGACGAAAGAATAGTTGTATAACTTCAGATCGTAGCCTCTACAATGACGGTAAATGGGTTAATGTCAAGGAACGAAAAAATTACCCTCTTTATGACATTACGAATTAGGTGTACACGACACTGAATGTGGTGGGAATTTGGATATGCCTGCGTGATAGCAGCATCTATTGCAGGTGAATCATCTGTCACAATGCCTACCACCTCTCGATTGTTAGTTGGCTGGCAGAAGAACGACAGGAATTGAGAAAGCAAAGTCGATGTTTCGCGACTTATAAATGCAATACAAACAGGTATTGCCATAAAATTCATATCCACTGGCACTACCTGATATAAATATAAGTTCTCGTTATTGGTTTTGTACGTCCCGTCGAAACCAACAACATCAAAAAAACGAGTTGCCAAATCCATTTGATCAGCAGTTGTGAAGAAAAAACACAACAGACAATTTTCTTCTTCTAATTCGTAATCGCAAAGCCCACCTAACGATGTGATGTGAGCTTTTAATTTGGCGTAATCACCTATCGTTTACAATATAGATAGGCACATTGCTTACCAGGAAGGTTGGCCTGTGGGAACACTTTGTAGCGCATATTAAAAATATCTTGAGCATTCAGACGCTTTCCATAAGTTTGGTAAGCAAAGTGCTTGATATCGAATGCTGCTGTCCCAGATATCAGGAGCGGTCGCACTGTTTCAAACTCAGCCTCCGTTAACATGCGCACCCAGTAATTACTGTTGTACCTTAGGGAATTGCACTTGTGATTGTAATGCACATTCCCACGAACAACAGTCCACTAACCTCCAATAAACTTACAAAAGATGAAGGCCGGACATTGGATGTTGATGGAAGTCCTTCGTGAAAAAAATATAATAACACTAATCAAATTACCTCCTTCGTCTAATCGGCTGTGAGTAAACGCTAGGTGTTATACGGCCATTTCTCTGACATACAAATTTAATATACGATTCCCGATCTCTGTGGAAATGAGAATCACAACATAATGGCAGTACGTAGATCTTTCATAAGTTCTGATTGCGTACTTTAACTCTTCAATTGATTGGAACGATACGAGATACAATGTATTCAAGAATACGTTCTCCGTTTCTGTGACAACGTGAGAAACGACAGAGCTTGTACATGGTACGTTACTCTCCTCCATAATTTTGATTAAGATGTACTCTATCGACAAGTACTGACATTTAAAAACAATTTTAGAAATTCATTAGCCCCACGGCAACTTTTTTTAAAACCCCCCACCCACCCTTTTTAAAAATGTTTTTTTCAACCCAAAATTGCAATATTTTTCATCCCGTTTCGTCCAATGAAATGACTAGTTTCAAAATTCCTTTTAATTGGTTAGTTATGTTTTGTCGAATTGTTATAAAACATCAGCACTTGTCGACGAAGTACATTTTAATCATCATTATGGAGGAGAGTAACGTGCCGAGTACGTAACAGAAATGAAGTCCTTTTGACAACCTTGTTTCTCGTTGCGTTCCCATCGGTTGAAGCGTTGAAGTCCGCTATCACAAATTATGAAAGATCAACTTGCTGTCATTATGTAGTTCGCGATTCGCATTTGTGCAGAAATGAAGTTCTTAATTGCCGTGGGCTTAATGTCAACCACAATTTTAAGACATAAATAACCAATTATAATGAATTTAAAACTAGCCATTTAATTGGACGAAACGGGATGAAAAAACCTTTTTAAAGGGGTGAAAAAAAATTATTTAAAAAATTACAAAAATGGCCGGTCGTTTAATGATATTCGTAACATGTAGTTTACAAAAAAGGGAGAAAAGAATTAAATTTTAAAAGTGTCTATCTTGTTATTTCAGTTGAAAACTACTTATTTGATTGGTTTGGTGTAATTTATGGTTTATTTCCAATAAAGACGAACATGATAGTCGAACCAATGAAACAGCCAATAGCCAATAAAATTTAATAAAAGCATTTGGTTTACTCAATGACGGTTCAACCAAATTGACAACCATCTTTTTAAAAACGAATATTTACCTAATTCAGTAATATAATTATTTTAAAAAGATTTACAAATTACTACAGTTATTTGTTTTTCAGCCAGTTGTCATTCTTATTACCTTGAACAGGTTATTAGGTAGATTCCTATGGATATAAAAATCGACCTTCAACCTAAATTTTTTTTTATGAAATTAAATAGATCTAATTCGCTAACAAAATGAATATTTTTATTATTTAGTGGATCATTTGTAAGCTGTAACCACATGATTAATATTAAAATATTTCGCAAAGTTAAAAATGCAAGTACCACAGAACATAAGAACACTGTTTGACCACATACATTAGATATAGTGTTTTTTTCTATGGCACATTCTAATTCAGCTTCACGTTGTTCCCACTGGATTTCACGTTGATCTAATTCTTTAACTAAACGTGAATTTTCTGATTCCAGTTCATTTAACTGTTTTTCTTGATTTTGTACAATTGATTCTAAATGGCGTACTTTTTCCTTTAACCGTTCAACCTATTTAAAAAATAAAATTAAATTAAAATAAATCAGGTTTAAAATGTTAGCAATATTTAAACTGAAAGTGGACATAAATATTCACTTTCTAAGTTGTTATTAGGTAGGGGTTGTAATATGATTACTTTAGTCTTTAAACACGTTGAAATGTATACGTAGCTGTGAAATGGTTAACTTGCAATCTTCTATGTTGTAGCCAGATATTAATTAGTTAACATTTATTTCTCCATGGCAACATTATTTTTCATGAAATGTACATCTAAGAACATTTACAAACAGATTTTCTGAAGAAAAATTATTTCTTTGATCCGCTCAGTTTTAAGATAGGGCAAATTCTACAAAACAAACATCGGATACTGCTTATTTGATACTTTGTGCTCTAATATTGATTTACATTTAACGAGTATGTTGTGGAGTGAAACTGCTTGAGGAAGGAATTTGATACCTGCAATAAATCTACTTCAACTGCGCCTGTAGCTCTTCCAGAGTTACTGCCGGTCCCAAGCCCGGGCAAAGGAGGAGGGTTGGGTATGGGGTTAGCGTCCCCATCCCGTAGAAAACTAACTCGCCAAAAAACGCTTACCAGAAAAAATAATTCAAACCATTTAAACTCTGCCCTGAGAGTTAGAAGGTGTTCATTCATGACGCTTCATGGTGAAAGCCGAGTTCCTTCGGAAGCCACGAGGCCTATGCCCCTTCTAACAACCAGAGCAAACATTTTTATAGGTACATGGAACGTACGGACAATGTAGGAGACCGGGAAGACTAGTCAAATAGCAACGGAAATGAGGAGATACAACTTGGCAGTACTGAGAATCAGCAAGACCCATTGGACTCAAGCTGGACAACAAAGGCTAGCTGCGGGAGAGGTGCTGCTATACTCCGGTCACGAAGAGGAAAATGCTCCACACACTCAGAGAGTTGCTCTGATGCTGTCCAAAGTAGCACGAAATGTACTTGTAGGATGGGAATCTCACGGATCCAGAATCATCAAAGCATCATTCAAAACAAAGAAGGTGGGGATTACAATGAATATTATTCAATGTTATGCACCCACCAATGATAGCAACGACGAAATTAAAAATCAATTCTGCGAGCAGCTGCAGTCAATCATAGAGAAGTGCCCAAGAAAGGACCTCACCATTCTGATGCCAAAGTCGAAATAGACAACACTGGATATGAAGATATCATGGGACGACATGAACTGGGTGAGAGAAACGAAAATGGAGAAATATTTGCAAACCTGTGTGCATTCAACAAATTGGTCATAGGTGGCACAATATTTCCACACAAACGTATACACAAAGCTACATGGATCTCACCGGACTACACTACAGAGAACCAGATAGATCATATCTGCACCAATAAAAAATTCCGAAGGACAATGGAAGATGTGAGAACTAGGAGAGGAGCTGATATAGCTTCAGATCACCACCTAGTTGTGGCCAATTTAAAACTAAAGCTAAAAAAGAACTGGACAACTGGACAAACAGCAATACAAAGGTTTAATACAGCCTTCCTTCGAGATACTAACAAAAACAATGAATTCAAGATAGCTCTCAACAATAGGTTCTAAGCCTTACAAGATCTACTGAAGGAAGAAGAAAGTACTATGGAGGACAACTGGAAAAGTGTCAAGGAAGCATTAACTTCGACGTATCAAGAGGTTCTGGGTCTAAAGAAACACCATCATAAGGAATGGATCTCTACAGAAACACTGGACAAGATCAAAGAAAGGAGGAACAAAAAGACAGCAATTAACAACAGCCAAACACCAACAGTGAAAGTCCAAGCACAAGCTGAATACATAGAAGCAAACAAAAAAATGAAGAGGAGCATTAGAGCCGACAAGAAGAAATACGTGGAAAAACTAGCAACGATGGCGGAAAAAGCTACAAGGGAAGGAAATATGAAACACTGAAGTCAGACATCGAAGTAACTACAAACGTGCTTCACCTTCTTTTCAAAGAGATTTGGGAGGAGGAACAAGTGCCGATGGACTGGAAAGAAGGACACCTCATCAAGATTCAAAAGAAGGGAGACCTGAGCAAATGTGAAAACTACGCAGGAATCACACTACTGTCGGTACCAGGAAAAGTCTTTAACAGAGTTTTGCTGAACCGGATGAAAGACGCAGTAGACGCCCAACTTCGAGACCAACAAGCTGAATTCCGTAAGGATCGGTCGTGCACAGACCAAATTGCGACACTACGGATCATCGTCGAACAATCAGACGTAAAGGCGAGGATTGGCAAAGCAAGGGCCGCATTCCTTCAGTTGAAGAACATATGGAACTCAAAACAACTTTCAACCAATATCAAAGTGAAAATCTTCAATATGAATGTCAAAGCAGTTCTACTGTACGGAGCTGAAACTTGGAGAACTACATCAACCATCATCAAGAAGGTGCAAGTATTTATAAATAGCTGTCTACGCAAGATACTCAACATCCATTGGCCGGATACCATCAGCAACAGCCTTTTGTGGGAGAGAACAAATCAGCTTCCAGCTGAAGAGGACATTAGGAAAAGACGATGGAAATAGATAGGACATACACTACGCAAATCGTCAAAATGCATCACGAGAAAAGCCCTAACTTAGAATCCTAACGGAAGGCGGAAAAGAGGAATGCCGAAGAACACATTACGTCGGGAAATAGAAGCAGATATGAAAAGGATGAATTACAACTGGAAGGAGCTGTAAAGGATTGCCCAGGATAGGGTTGGATGGCGAATGCTGGTGAGCGGCCTATGTTCCTTCACGAGGAGTAACAGAAGTAAGCAAGCAAGTAAGTGAGTAAGTAAGTAAGTAAGTAAGTAAGTAAGCAGGCAAGTAAGTAAGTAAGTAAGTAAGTAATAAATCTACTTTGGTGCTGATCATTTTAGGCTAGTTAAGACGAAATAGCTGCTCAGCGCTTCCTGATTTCCAATCACTGCTTAACTAGTCAATCCGTGACGTGAAACATGATAGTTGATCATTTGTTGATTCACTTAGTGATTCTATTTATTAGAAGATCGGTTAGATATGTTTTTAAAGCAAAGGACCAAAATATTTTGTGATTACATTTTACTTTCTCATAAGGCAAAATATTTAGCAATAAGACAATGTAGAAGTAAGTACAATATTGATTATTTATTTACCTATCTCTAAAATGATGTATTTAGACCTTAACAAGCTATATTTCTTAATGACTTAAGCAATATTTTAGTGTAAATCAGAAAGCAAAAGATACAGTACATAAATACTTTCTTCAATTTCCTGAGAAATACATGCGTAATTTGTTCAACACAAAACTGGACACAATGGAAATTGAAGTATTATCTCTTGGAATTAAATCCCACGTTTTGAATAATAGATATACAAACACAACATAAAAACCTATACCATAAAGCTGCTAATTTGTAGCTTATTGATCAATATAAAAATAGTTGGTTTGAAGTCGAGCTAACTCATACTGCAAATCAGTATCTAATTTTCTCCATTTTCACATTCAGAAATTTTGACTAAGGAACATAAGTCAGCACTGAAGAATATACAAAAGAATGATGGGATTTTTGTATTAAGACCAGAAAAGGTTCAGATGCCCTCAAAATAAATCGAAATGACTACATTTGGAAGATGTTCCAAGTTCTAAAAGATGAGTCGAGATTTCAAAATGTCTCATCAGAAATTCCATACAATTAGTTTCTTTTATGAATTTTAATAAAGCCAGAATAAACATTGATGCAGAATAATATGAATTCATTATATTTCGTGGTTTTTCATAAGCTGCTTACAACCATATATGTATTAAAAGTTTACACTGAAGTAAGATATAGTGTGAATCAGTTGACATAGATGAATGAAAATAATTAGAATCATAAAGACTATCAATATATATATGGAGTTGGAATTAAAAACATAAGAGTTAATGAATTCATATTATTCTTCACTAATGTTTGTTCTGGCCTCATTCATTTCAAGATGATATATTTGAGTGAAATTCCTCCGTAGTGACTGAAGTCGGAATTAAACATCTTGAACAACTTCTAACCAAGGTACTTGATTTTTCAACTGATAATTAATTAGAGGCAACAGGGACACGCCTGTTTTTCGTGTGTGATCTCCCTAAAGTCCTCAAATCAAATATCTTCAACCTGTAATGTTAATGACAATTTCACCTTATCATAACGATTGGACAGTCAAGAAAACCGTATTCAGAAAAGAAATATGAATAGAGGCAACAATTCGATTGCAATAGTTTTTGTCTTGTTAGCCACAAAGTTTGTCTAGTTAAAACTATTTTTATTAGCATGTCTTTTAAAAAACAAATATCCGAAGAAATCCCTTACGATGTACAGAAAAATGTTTATGGAAAGTCCTAAACAAATAACTGTTGTCAGAAAACATGTCTTCATTCAAAGGCGCAGAAATTTCGGACAGGATTGATAAAATGTTTAAAGTAGCGCTAAAGAGAATCGTCCCTGAAGCCCAACTGTTTTTTATTTCTAACACCCGATGTTTCTTAAACATATCAAAAATTCCGCTGACACGAATTCAATACGTTAACTCGAATTTTTTGTCAACTAGTTACTTTTCTCATTTGTTTTTATTCATCATCTGTTGGTTATCATCTATAACTTCACTCCCTTCTTCTTATGATTTCATCTTCAATGCATAAATACTAATCAACCCTAGCCATCTTAATAATTATCTAGTCTCCTCTTCTTGTTTCTTATGTTATTTTGAAACAACCTTCGCTGATTTTCTTTTGATAATATTACTGACGCAAATTTAGATCGCTTGTGGCTGATGAGAAGCCTCGAAATAGTATGAATGAATGTTATTCTGCAAATCATACTCTTCTTTTATTTAGATAATAAAACTACGACGCGACTTAGTTTTGACTAAACATAAGGATAACTATTTAATTTTAAGATATAAAAGACATGACTTAATTTAAACCAGTGACCAGAACGTTGCTGAAAACCTACAAACTCTGCACGAGCCGTCAGATATCTCATAATGTATTATAATTCAGGTGAAGGATTTCTGAAAATATTTAAATTTATAGATTGAGTTTGTCAGGAATCCATATCGAATGAAGCACCTCAGAATTTAGGGACAATGGATAACTGACTATCCCGAATTGGGGACTCCTCTGAAGCAGTCTATATCAAGTGAGTTTTAGTGGTTTTCTGAAAATACATCCCGAAATTGTTTATGAATGAGTACACTACAGCTTGTAACAATTTTTTCAAACTAAGGGGTGTTTTTATCACTGACTTCCCTTTTTTGACCTGAAAAGATGTTTTTGTGCAAGCATACTGTGTAATCAATCAATTTTTCAGTTAATCAGTAGAGAGGCTAATGAACGAAATTATTTAAACAGATTATAATACCAAAAAAATATTACAAACCTGACGACGTTGTGTTGATTCTGAGACTCGTAATTCACTTAATCGTTCTTGCCAATCTAATAATTTTTTTTCCAAGTTTTTATTAATGTCATGATTTTTATGTTCTTCATTATACTGTTTTAAGATATCCTGAATATCAGATGTCAACTTTTTTTTTTCTTCGTAACCTTCAATTATAGATTCTTTTTTGATTTTATCATTCAAAGCTTCATCAAGAGCCAACTGGATAGATATACATTTACGAAGTGTTTCGGTTAAACGAAGGGATAATTTTTCTTGTTGTATGAGTGGAATGGAACCTGCGTATCTTTGACGAAGTGACTACAAAAATGAAGGTAAACCAAATTCCAAAAAGTGGTTGAGATCACTCTAACAAATGTTGTAGTATGATATACTAAAAATCATCAAATAAATTGAACGTTATTTGAAAGTAATGGTAAATTACCATTCCAGGATGACCATAGATCATGTCGATCGTCTGACATTCAATTTCAGTCACACTTGTTTCATTCATGTTCACAGAGATTTGTACCCATGCAACATTTTGATTAATAAGTGCTGAAAACCAGAAGACCAGGGTGATTTGTATCACAGAGTTAGCACTATCCATAAAGTCGTCACTTATGAGATATTTGAAAGGTGCACGTTTCATTTTGATGAATCATTTACATCAAAATACCTTAATTTAAAGTAAGTATTGTCATGTACTGAAGATTTAGACAGACAACCGAATTCATGGAGAATTGATATAAAAATTTAAATGGTTTCGTTCCATTCACTAGTAAAATGTGCATCAAACGTAAACTTTAGAGCAATTAACGCCAAAGTTTCAATTAAAATTGTTGAAGGTCTGACGAACGTAGCGACGAGGAAAACGTATTTCATAAAATTTGAATAATTAATATGTCTCTAAGTAGTATCAAGAAAATGTTGATGTAAAAAATCTCCGTACTCCAATACTTGTTATTTAACTCATTAAAGTATTGACTCATACCATTGAAAAATAAAAAGCACTTGATGAGCACTGTCACCATTATTTTATATTTCAAACAGTGTTTTTGACGAACAGGTTAGGAAACATTGAGGAGTAGTGAAATCAAGATATTATATTAAGCCATGAAGCTTTAGTTATTAGCAGATTTCCTGCTTAAAGTCCTCTAAGTAAAATGACTCAAAATCGGTTGTTCTTCTTGTTATATCCCGACGAGAATTACGAATGATAATTTCTGAGAAATATTTATGGACCAATACGATACATGTATTTTTAATGTGTAATAATTAAGTAAAAAAACTATGCATATTTACGTCCCTCTTATTATAAGCTTTATTTTGACTCATAGACTATTATTATACGATGTACCGTTCTTGGGTTATGCCCAGTCCATCAATTACATTCTCCAACATTCACAGCCACTTTTGGTTAAGTCGTGTACAAATATTGTTTCTATTTTGTGGTGCGATGTGGTCTGCTTGGTTTTTATATAAACTCAGTATGTTTGAAATACATGATTCATATCACGGAGGATGAGATTGACGTTCTGGACTCAACAGGGAGGGCTAGACAGGAAGAAGGACCGGTAAGGACTCTAGACTACTCGTACGGGTTCACGTGTCATTGGTCCGGTCGATAAATCACTGTTCTCTAATTGGCGGTATCATGACGTTATATATTAATAGGGCACAAAGCCATAAGGTATAACACTTCTGGACCTATATTACTTATATGGATTTCATGAATTTCATTCAACTTTAAATACGTGAAGAATCGGAACTCTTAACCGGCCCATAACTATCCGAGTTGGTATTTTATATGAAACCGACTGACATGATATTATTGAACAAAAGTAATTTTTAATGTCAGAAAGAAATAGTAAATTACCGTAATTGTTTCACGTAATCGTTTTTCACGTCGATGTGATTTGTCGTACACGTTTGTCAATTCCTTTTCTTTTTGAATTAGTCTTTTCTCAGCTTTGAGCAAATCATTTTCCAAACGATTTACTTTCACTTGAGTTGATGCTAAACGACGTAGGGCAGTCGACTCAGAGATCTAAAAATATTATATAAATAACTAAACTAGAAATTCGATATATTTGCAAAAAGTTGAAACAAAACATCACATTTACAATGAGAAATGTTCAAAGATTGTACCTCTTAACTTCATATCAATCAATGTATAACTGATAACTAATAGTAGTCGGCTTGCAGTTTGAGTAACAGTTTTACATAATGACCGGTTATTTCTTGAACATTCGGGTGAATTTCTATGCTGATCTCAGGGATAGTAACCGGTCAGGCTTTCTACAATATTGTCATATTAAGACGATCGTCTTGATATTTTTATATATTCCCATGTTTTTAGGGAGTTTATAGAAACATGATCTGAAACTTAAAATCATTAATTGGTAAGCGGTCAGTTCAACACGTAAAACTGCCCAAGTGATTACCATTATTGTAAAACGCCTTCAAAAAACGAACTGTTAAACGATAGACTACAAAGAGTATCATTTTAATGCATTGCGAAAACTGCGATGTAAGGTATGACTAGGATATATATACTTCTGGTGAATGAAAAGTTCTTTTGAATTCATATTTCAAACGACACAATAGTGACTGGCCTCGCATATCACAAGTTACGTACAGTGTATCTGGGAGTTCGATTTTCCTTTATTCGTAGTTTCCTGAGAATGAGAAGTAATCTAACTTTCGAACAGTCATATAATTCAATATCCGGGAGAATGAAATATGATCAATCGATTTTATAAAGGAAAAATGATAAATACGTGAAGACTGAAGTGGACTTACCTGGATACGTGTCACAAGACGATGGAGTTGAGCCAGATTAGCTTTTGAATCATCTTTAGATTCCAGTTCAGTCATTTGTTCACGTAAATTTTGTATTTCAGTCGACTGATCGTTTAGTTGATCTTCCAAATTTTGATGCTGATTCATTGAAATTAAAGCTACTTCCTTAAGTTGTTCAACTTCATGACGAAGTTTCAAATTAGTCTGTTCTAATTCTGTGTTTTTTGTTTCAATTTCTTGATGCTCTGATATTGGAACAGCTTCTAAAATTGCAAAGTTAAGTGTTTTTATTTTGAAATTTAATATATTTTGTACATATTCATCGAGCATCGAAATAGTAATCTAAATTATATAGGAAGATAATGTCATCCTCTATTAATTACCTCTAAGTTATTGCGCACACATAAAACTATGCATCGTTACAAATCCAAGCCAAATACAATATTTGATAGGACGATATTATGACATATTCAAAAGTAGATATTCTTCCTCTTTATACATTTCCATTTTGTTACTTTATTTAATACCCTACTATGATTTGTTGAACCATTTTTCTAGTCTAAGACAGACATAACTTTCAAGTTGAATTCACAAGTCGATTTAACTTGAAAGTACTACAATCTCCACAAATCCCCATACAGATATAACTTCATCCAATATTCCATATTTGTATATTATTAGCTTTCGAGAATAACATCAATTGTGACTTCCTTTTTCTAATAATTTATAAACTAGCAACGAAACAGTTCTATTTCTTATAGAAGAACTTTGCTTTTGAAATTCTCATGACTTACTGCTTAAGGCTGAGCTCATAAAAAACTGACACAGACGACTAGCGAAAGGAATGTTATTTCAGACAGTGTCAATGACCCAAGTCGAAAATAAACTCACTTAAATATTGATTGTACACTCAGTTCTGATTAATAATTAGAATGTAATTCACATATAACAAATCACTTACTGAGTATAGTTCATGTCAATGGAATACAAGAATATCGTATATTATTACATAATAAAATATCATAAGAGAAAAAGAAAAAAACAATTACTACATTGAGTAATCATTATATTGAATCAAAATGGAATTCATGTTGAGTAAGAATCATAATGAGTAAATCAATCGAAAATTGATTTTTCTTTCCATCTTATTATAACGACAAAAAACTCACATTATTAATTAAACTCCAAAAGGGACTTGTGATGAATTAGATTATAAAGAACTATGGTGTGAAATGTCAGAAAAAACCCCAAACGTACCCACTAGCACAAATGAGTAAAGGTTAAATCTGTTTAACTGTATAAACACTTAAATTATCATATAAAAATTAAACCAAAGGAGCACTAAGTGTGTACATATAGCTTATCGGACTGGAGGATCTTTTCTCGTGATTAATCTTCTATATTCATCGTATAAAGAAAGCTTGAAAGGAGAGGGTAGTTAAGCAGCTATAAATAAAGAGAAAAACATCCTTAATATGATGCATTCGAGCCATGAATCTGAAGACCACTTTTTTCAGCTAACTAGTCCTATGTATGTAAATCCCTCAAATATCTTCATAAAAATTCAATCTGGACCAGGTACAGAACACTATCTAGACTAATACTAAAAAATCATTAAGAAGCTACACTACATAACATTTAACCAGTATTACAGGTAGCATTACAACGATTCCATTATGTATGGTTGTCTGCAATATATAAAGACGTTTATTGAAAACGGATCTGCTCCGTCTCAGACAAAATCGTAGATTTAGGCACAGAAAACCATTTTTGTTTCTTCTCCTATAGCATTGTATATTATTAGCTTTCGAGATTAACATCAACTGTGACTTCCTTTTTCTAATAATTTATAAACTAGCAACGAAACAGTTCTATTTCTTATAGAAGAACTTTGCTTTTGAAATTCTCATGACTTACTGCTTAAGGCTGTGCTCATAAAAAACTAACACAAGTTGAAGAATCACTGAAATTTATAGGGAACAATCGGGTTGCTTTAACATTATTGAGGAGTACGTACGAGTTCGTATTTGTAACCTTACAAGGACTCCCAGTCCATGACCTATTTAAAACTACGTTTTCACTATCCAGTGATCAACACTTTCACCTAGAGTCAATACTAGATACTGTCAGTTCTTTATTCAATGCAGTTAGATGGTACCTCATTCAGTTCCAAAATAATTGGATCTAGCTGGTTGCAGTTTTACACCATACGATTCAAGAGCCAACCACTAATAGACACACGAACAATTATTGTCAATGTAATTTTGTGATATTTATTGGAGCTATCAAAGATACTGGCAACAACTAGAAAATAAACCCAATGAAATTACTTTTGCTGAACCAGTATCTCAGATACACAGTTGGACAATGAAGGATCAGACAAAAATGCATGTCTGTATAATATCATCATATATGAAAGTAGTTTAAAATAAATTTCTCGCGTAATGTGTGTCACTCACATAGTAAATGAATTGTAATTGCTTAAAAACACAGGTTTAGATAACTAATCTATATATTATTATTACTTTATGGGGTCAATTAAGGGAAATATATATTTTAAGTTGCATATTGTTACCACTAAACTTATTTATATGTGAAACAAATCAAGTGATAGACGAAATACGATACCACATAGACTAATGTGTGCTTGTTATTTACAACACTAACTTTTAGTAATAACATTAGATGTTTTATTGAAAACTTATATTTAATAAACACTGAATAAGTACCCGAAAAAACCATATACTTTACTTGTAAGTTCTTGTCGTAATATTTTTTCAGTTTGTTGCAATTCAATTAATGACTTAGTAATTTCGGTAAATTTGTTTTCAAGTTCTCTATTTCTTAACTCTAATTGATGATTGGCATCTTGTACTGTATTCAAAATAATCTGTGTATGATTTGCACGTTCACGTTCATTTAGCTCTTTCATTTCTATTAAAGCTAAACGTTTAGCAATATTTGTATCGGTTACATCATTCTCAACTTGATCAGATTTCACTGTCTATATTTTAAAGCATTGATAAAAAAGAACCCAGACAATATTACAATTTAAGTGATTAAAATCAACAATGAAGATAATTTAAAATTAGAATAACTTGTGAAATATATATGGTAGCCGCGTTGTTAAATGCGCGCTGACTAACTGTAGTGCTGATTATACAAACTAGAATAATGTTTATTCAAACTTCATCTCAGATAGTTTCAAAAAGAAAGCATTAGATTGGTCAGGATTAAAAAACACGAAATTCAATATTAAAATTGAACAACTTTTTTTAATTCCTGAGTGTTACCTATTTTCTAGATGTGTTCAAAATGTAAAGGTTCATTCCTAATACTATAGTTTAGTTACTATTGTTTGTCACCACCTTGTTTACATACACAGTTTTACACAAGTTTACAGCATATCGCTGTGCTACATAAAAAGGAAATGCATAGGAACACAACGGATAGTTAATAAGTTGTTTTACTTATGTCATCTGTTAGAAGAATGTGTGAAGGTAACGAACGAACACATGTTTAGAGTAAACCAATTTATTACATTTGTAAAATATAAAATTAATACACTGAATGAACCGTTTGCACATTTTCCTTGAATTGTCTCTTATAAACTCCTGTTGCTACTCTGACTACTTCTGCTTTTCTTTCTATTCTTCTCAATTTTTTTCTTGCGTCAGTGAGTGTCCTACTCTCAGTGTCTGCTACATACTACTTATATCTGTCCGTATAAGTATTACACACCACACAAGTACACCAGAATTCATTCACGTCAAGATAAATACAATTGTTCCATAGCAATCTATACAAAGACATGTCACATTGAATCGTTAATTATTACAATAAACGAGCAACTTATCGTAAACAAGACATTTCAGTTAACTGTATTTTGTAAATGATCTGATTAGTAAGGATGTAATTTTTTTCTTTCAAGAGAAACATGATATCTAATAAAAAATAAACAACTTTCAAATTAAATTAATGATGACCATCATGTATTCAAAATTGTCAAAAACCATCCTCATTTGTGTATCGCACGTTTATTTAGACGTGTAATATCTACTAGATGACAGTGATAAATATATATATATATATATATGTCAGCGACAAGTTGATTATGTACGCCAACGACAAACATATTAGGACTTTGGATAACTGTTTATTAACTCAAATCGATACGGAACCTAAACAATGGAAGAGTAAATTAATGAGATGAATAATAAGTATGTAAATTTAGTTGTTTCCAACCTACTCCTACACCAATTAACATTCAATATTAACAACTAAACGTGTCAGTTCAAATATGTCAATTTTTTGTCGTGTTAGTTGAATGGCGAACTAAATTGAACGATTGAATCACTTTATGAACATTAATTTTATTTTGTCTATTTGTCTTAATGTGACCCTAACAAGTACACGAAATAATATTTCATACTTTCAGGATAAAAAGTATTTACTTCTCATATGTGAACTAACAGCTGGACATTAAGACCAAAAATAGTAGATTTTCTATAACAAATCAACAACAGACTACGTAGAACACTGAGTTGAATGTGTTTTTGAATTTGCACGACAACGGAGCTGTTAACAAGTTTCACAGATGCCATAAGCACAGTTAGTTTGTCAGCTTTAAGAAATCTATACCATCTCAAAACATAACCTACCACATTTGACTGCAACTGATTAATGGAATTTTCCAGCAAATATCTCCTTTCTTTTTCTATGGTCAGTTGTTCCTTTAATTCATCATGTTGTTTTTTCAAGGTATCCAAATTTGCTTGAGTAGATTTTAAGGCTAATTGATAATTCACACTATTGGAACCATTTTCTAATAATTCTTTATATTTAATAGCTAATGTTTCATATTCATTTCTTAAATTATTCAGTTCATCTTCTGGAACACATCGATCTAATGTTTTTTGTAATTTTTGTATTTGGAATGCTGCAGTTTCTTTACACCTCGCATAATAATTTAAACGAGCACTCACAGCTGATTCCAGTTGGAATATATCACTTTTTAAATTAGTATTCTCCTGAAAAATACAAGAGCAAAAAGATTTACATTTTCTATAATTCAAAAAATGTTGGTAGCAAAGTAAGAAGAATCTAGTAAACTGATGTAAAATACAGTGTAACAAAAAATGGAATGTTGCAATTAGCCCTATGTCTTTTGGCGAAATTGTCAAACGTACTAACGTAAGCTGAATAACTAAACCCCTGAGACTGCATAAACTTTAATAACACAAACTTGCAGTAACAATATAGTGAGAAATTCAACTTATTACAATAATGTTATATTGGTAATAATAAAACAAAGTTATATTATTAACGATTTTAGAAAGCGTAAAGAAAATATTTTCTATCAGTTAGGTTCTCTTTGAATGCTTATAATAATGCTTTGTGAATAAATTTCGAATGATGCTTGAAACTTGATACTTGAAACTTATAAACGTTTATCGGACATCTACTAATTACTCTACAGATAATTAGCATAAACCATTAAGTTATATTTAGAGAGAATTGTGCAAAATACATGCATAATTATTCAGGTCAAATGGTTATTATTCTCATTTCTTGTGCAAAAAGGAATAACTTGCACACTACAAAATAATGATTTTTAACGCTTGACTTTTAATAATTATTAAGACAGAAATATAAACTCCTATATATTCAACATCATTTAGTGATCCTTAGAATATTTTCAGGCAATTAATCAACTTCAATGGTTGAGATCATGAGTCATTTGGAGCTAGACCACCATGGAAAACCTAGAAGCACTGGACGGCCGTTTCATCCTATTTGGGGAATCCTCAGCAGTGCGCATCCACGATCCCGCCCAGTGGTTCAGTGGTTGAGCGCTCGCGCGCGAGACTGATAGGTCCTGGGTTCAAATCTTGTGGGGGATGGGATCGTGGATGCACACTGCTGAGGAGTCTCACAATAGGACGAAACGGCCGTCCAGTGCTTCCAGGTTTTCCATGGTGGTCTAGCTTCAATTGACTCATGGTTTCAATCTGTGAAATTTCTAAAATCTCCACAAAACCCCTTCTGATTCCCATATCAGTCTATTTAACTTCGCTAAAAAACACACTGCATTGGGAATTGGAAGCAGACATCATAAGGATGAACTCGAAACAACTGGGAAGGATTACCCAGAACAGAGTTTGATGAAGAATGTTGGTTGACGGCCTATGCTTCTGAACGAGGGGTAACAGTTATAAGTAAGTAAGTAATATTATTCTATTTCAAATGTCGTTTCTCATTACACTGCATGAATAATTTCTTTACCCATCTAGTTTCAGCGTTGGATTTCTTCAAGAAGAGTCTTCATGCAAATTGTTTAATTATCCAGACACTAGCCTCTTTCTGACCACAGGTGTTTAATAAAACATACTAAGTTGAGGCTAGTCTAAAGTTAAGTAATAACTACTTAGTCCTAAAATGGTAATACGACATATCGCAGTTGACTTCATCATTCAACCAACTAAATCAAAGGTTGATGCTCATTGCACGTATTTAATTTCATAACTTTAAGGTCCGTAAATTGCGAATTTTTTAGTAGGAGTTCTTGGGAGATACGTTTGAGTATGATATAATGTTATAGTCACGGAAACGATTGTTTATTTTAATACATACGTTTAATTTATTTCGACCATAGGTATATGAAGACTTGAATGGTGTAAACGTTTTAGTAATGGAATAACCATTGTTCAAGTCACAAAGCTGAAATTATAATCTATAGTCCATTTCTGTAAACCGATGGTTTTATTTCAACAAAGCTGCTTAAAATACGAGAGTGGAATGATAAGAGGGAGGTGGAAAACTTTTTTCCCCATACAATATTATGTTACATAACGAAAAAGCATAACTACACATAGTATTAAGTTTATGTGTGAATTATTTAGTTCTTGTAGAGAAATATTTTAGGAGTGGTGTCAAATATAATGACATTCACAAAATAATCTAGGCTTAAGAATTTCGAATTCACTTGGTATTGTTTGGCCTGTATCTTCGTTTCACGAGCTTTTGAAACTAAATATTTTAACTATAGTATGATTATCACTAAAATGAAAATCCGATTTTATTGTTAACGATGGAAAATTTAAATGAGAAATAACAATTTTAGTAATTTTCAAACGAAATTTAACCTTCGATAAAGCAACTTCACGTTCTCGTGTTGCCAAATATCGCCGCCGTAAGCCAACTTCATTCACACGAAGTAATAATATCTGTCGTGACTGGTCAGCAATCTTTTGCTTTATGGGAGAACTTTCACTCTGTTCTTTATCACCTGATGAATCACCTAAACTCGATAAAATATCTTGCAAATGATGTAGTTCACTCTTATGGACTTCCAGTTCGTTAACTCTCATTTCTGAACATTCCAAACGTTGTTCAAGTTTTTCTTTTTCTTTCTTCCAAGTCTTCAAAGAAGAGATGGATAAAATGTAGCGAAAAATAAGGTTAAAAAGACTATGATCAATAATGTTTTGTTGTTTGACGATCTTCTAGTAAAACCGGATTCAAGAAACAGTTGGTTATTTCAGAACCAACATCGAGAATGCATTAAACAGACCTTCAATTTTCAGACAACAAAAACATTTATCCTAAATCAATTTTATTCACTCTATTTAAATGGGGTAATTGAAGTGTTACTGCATGGTGCATCCCTTACTGAAGTAAGAAGCTTGAGTATTTACACAGATAAAACTTTACGCTCACCTGCTTTAACAACTACAGATGAACTGTAAGGAGTTTAATATTATATGTTGCTTCTATCAGTAATATCCATTGTATTCACTTTTATTCAAATGAATAGCAAAAGATTGTCGGGAAATAGTTTTGTTTACATATATTTTCTAAATGATTGGCATTTTCATAACGAAGCTATTTGTTCTATGAATAAACACTCATTTATGTAGATTCTGACAAAACAAAATTTCGCAATGATTTCTTGAGAAACTCTGGAATGTATGCCAAGTATTTTGACAGGAATTGAAATATATGACCCCATGTTAAGTTTCGTACACAATACTTACGTTAACTTCTATTTTTACAACTGTCAAGTGTGGCTGAAAGATTATCTGTGAGGCATTTTTATACTGAGACTAGCTGTGGGCTGTGGGATACAAAGTCACGATTAGTGTAAATAAATACAACACAACAACTATGTTACCAAGACTCGTGTAACGGTCAAAAAATTACTCTGTTTTCCCTAGTTCACGAAATTACTTTAAATTTGACTCAGCATTCACCATGTTCCAAGTGCATATGAAGTTAACAGAAATGTTTGGAATTCGTACAGTGGGTAGCCAAATAAAAATATTTACATAAGAGACTAAATAAACATGAACCCTGAAAATTAGTGATTCACCACACGGTATTCAATGTCTGCTAAAAAGAATTTCCAGGGTTATGTCAGAGTTAAATAAGAAACTTTAAAATCAATTTAAAAAACAAACAAATCAATAAACTAAGATACAGCATGTAGAAACACTAAGTATTTCCTATTTATTATAATTTCAGGTATCAAGAAATAATGGGGAGCAGACGCACGTGAATGGAAAGAACAAAGACAAAGCCTCTGTCACTTCCATAGTTTTTACAACATAATAGAAATCTTGACAGACAGGCAAAATCTGTATCATATAGAGAAGTACAAATTAAATTTCCATGTGAATGTGAAGACATTTAAGTTCTCTTCACTATCTGTAGAAAATTGCATACTCATCCTTAACAGAATCAAAACCTCCTAATTAACTGAAGTGAGAATGTTGTTATATAAATTTATTTATATAAATTCTTACATCTAATACACAAACTTACTTGGCGTTCATTATAAAAGTCCCGATACAATAAACCTTGATGGTGTTTACAAACAGAATATTTTCTCCTTGCAGCTTCCATTTGATTGTCAATATAGGCAAGTTGTGTATTTTTATCACTAATATCTTTCATCATTGTCAGTAAGTGTTCTTCTAGTGATAAAATAACTTTAGCTGTATCAGGGTTAATATCTTTTGGAAGAGGTGACTGACCCTCAATAAATGTTTGGCTTGGTGTATTATTATTTAAGAGATCAACTGATTCAAGCTGCGACTCCAACTGTTTAATTCGATTATGTGCCTCGTTCAGTTTCACCTCATATAAAGCACTACTCATGCGTATATCACGAAGATTTGATCGGAGCTCCTGATTTGCCCCCTAAAAATGAAATACCAGGGTGTATTTATTTTCCGAACACAATTCAAGTAGGAATAAACATTAGATACAGAAAGTAAGGTCTCGATCAGATTCTAACAATATTAAGATTAAAACGTGCTAAAAATTACATTAAATCGTATGGTACCTGACTTGAATTTAACAACGGAGATTATAATATTTTTATTTAGAGTATTAGACCTAAAAGTGGATATTGACTCTTGTGAGGGATTCCAGCACTTTTTGCACTGAATCATACTACTGAGACAAAGTGATCACTAGGTGAAAGCAAATGTCATCTCCCTTAGATTTTATTTCTGATAGGATTATACTGATCGATATGTAATATGATCACTCAACTAAGTAGCTTAAAATTTCAGTAGACTATGAGTAATGAAGGAAATTAACAGGTGGCCTTGGATTCAAGTTTTAAACCAGTTGGGACTCGTAGTCAAGACGTATCTACAGTTGTATGAAAAGTTCTTCAAACTAGCGTCACCCAAATATGGGACGTTAATCTTTTAGCGACGCTGACTATAATCATAAAATAATACCCTGTTGGGTTCTACACATTGCATAGTTGAACAATTAAGTTAATAGACCTTTCAACGTCTCTGAAAATGCTTTCTTTCTATTACACTTTATCACTGTTTCGGTAACCAGGTTAGTTTGATTTACAGTTAGGAATCGCTGATTCTAAGGATAGATTGTATAAGTAGTAATCTCCGGTTAATTATTTGTATTTTCTTCAGCAATAAATTATATGTTCTCACTCAATAGATCATAAATATTGAGTGTATTGTTTGGCAGAATTAGCTGATGTTATTGATTAATGGTGTGTTCTTATTTTTGTAATTATGAGCACAGAGGAAGTCACAATTTTGTACTTAATGGTAAGTTGACATTGTTTCTACCAAGAGTACTGTCTGTTAAATCCATACGTTGCTTACCATTGTATGAATGTGTTGTAGATGCGGAGGAATAGACCAATAATTATAATGTTAAGTCCAATGGTGTCCTTGGACTTTAAATGGACATTTCCTATTGGTCGATATCTGTTCACTTGTTGAATATTGTACAAAATGTTGTTTTCTATTTTTATGGTACGATGTGGTATGCTTGATTGGTATATAAACAAAGTATGTTTGAAATATAATGATTCATAACTCAGAGGCTGTGACTTGTGTTCTTGACTCAACTGGCTAGGACAGACAGCGAAGCAGGGCCAATCGGGGCACTATGTCGTCCGTACGTGTTTACGTGTCCACTGTCACAGAGCCGATCAATAAAACGCTGCTTATCAAAACCTGTAGTCACGCACGTTACAACAGAATGTTTTATGAAATATCTAGTAATAATCATTTATTCCAATACTCAGTTTAAAAATCCGATTACTTCAACGTTCAGATATCAGTGAAAAGTGATTATCTAACCAAATTAAGCCAAATCACATTCATTAAGTTAAGGGAAAAGATACGTGATGAATAATTTATTGGTAGTTCAATTTGTTTCAACATAAATATTTCGTTTTTAATCTTAAAGAAGTAGTATACTGAGGAATTATGAGTGCTATTTTGACCTAAAAAAAGTTTCTTCGTATTTCTGTATTGTAGACCATTGAAATGTGTCAGTCATATCTATGACGAAATAATGATTCATACATAAGTAATATCAGTTTAAGTGTCTATAATAATTATCATCAGGTGAAAAGACAATTATGTAGAATAGAACATGTCAAAATGGTGTATCGGCATGAAAAGTTAGTCAATAAACGTGACTTATGTATAAGAAAAGAGCATGGTAGGAATAAGAAGATATTTTAACAATAGTGACATCAGGGAACTAAAAAGAAACTAAGGATAGTTTTATTTGCATTTGTAGAAGGATCTGGGTCTTAGAAGGAAGTGATATAACGGTCATAAAAACAATGTCCAATCTTTTCCATCAAGAACTTGAAGAAGATAGATGGTATATCGATTATAACAAATTCCGGTGGGTCTGTGATTGCTGTTTCCTTAGAATGGACAGATTTCTAAGAAACTACAGTGTAAACACAACTCAGTTATGAATGATACAAAGACGGAACAATAAGGAACTAATTAATAATAAGTCTGCAACATTATGACAACGACGATTATTGGGTCAAACAAGAGCTTACAAATAAAAGAATATAAAGATTAAACAATTCAAGTGCTTAATAATTATACCATAATATAAACACCTTGTCTCTAAAGGATAGCTCTGAAAATTTAATTTTTCTCTTTGAGATGACCATATTTATATATTAAATATCTCTTGACTGATATTTTACGGCATATTTGTAAAAAGAGTATAAACTTCACTATTAACTTACTTCAAGTTGATCTACTCTGGACTTTAGAAATTGTCCAGAGTCAATATCTTCAACCATGTTTCTTGCGTCTAATGCAGCTAGTAATTTGTCTAAAGATGGACAGTCTAGTTGAATGATTTCATTCTTTATTTTTAACTTGTTATTGGCCACTTCTCTTTTTTCTGTTTTGGTTATATTGTCAGATTTTGATTGTTTCTTTTCTTCACTTAGATCACGTTGATTCTTTGACTCAATATGAAAAGAGTGTATCTGGTTTTGAACTTCCTTCAGACCACTTTCTAGCAGAACATTTGCTTCAGTAATTTGCTTCAAACGTGTCTCTAGTTTATCATGCTTTTTATGTTCTTCTTCTATTTGCTTCAGTGCTTGAACTAATTCCTCATCAAGTATTTTGAACTATATTTTTTTCATCAGAAAGAGAACAATGTGAAAATTGTATAACTTTAGTGCAAAATTGACGCGTTTGTGAACCACAAAGGACAAATGTAACCTAACAGAAATTCAGATTATTGGTAGTGAACTAAAAGCGAAGTGTTGACAAACCGTTTAGCTGCGATTATTTGCCTAAATACAAGCTGCTATCTTCCGTGTTTACTAGAGAAACATCTAAAAATTTATAATACTTTGAGTATAGTTATAATTTCTTTAATCAATATGACTAACAATAGAGTTATCCGAAATATTTTTTAGTTCTTGGCTCTCATAATACTACTTTATGTGCACATTCAATATATTTCTGTTAGTGAGTCGTTTTCCTTGATTTTTTCAAAATACTAATCCGCTGACCATCCCTATTCAGCGTATAAATTCCACATCAGTTAGTGTACGAACTGACTGACGTATCATGAATTCTTGATAGTGTTATAGGTGTGTTTACTCATCACTCAAAATTTACCTAAGGTTACTGACTAATAAAGATACAATACACAGATCGTAGATATCTATGACTTCATACGAGATAGAAGTTAGTGATTCTAGGTCTTACGAAAAGCAAAAAACCTTTATATTTAGATCAAATGTTTCACAATTCCGACTTTAGTCAACTTTGAATAATGAGAGATTTTCAACATATGTACCATTGGAAATAAGAATCTGACACACTTTAAAAATAAGGAAACACGTACTCTTGCTTTCCATACTTCTGGAAGGTCAGCTAGTTCGTCTTGTGTTGGGGAACTTTTGGTTTTCTGACTAGATCGAGAGGCAGAAACCACTCGAACTGACTGAGTTGACACAACTTCCTCACTAACTGCAGACAAAAATGTTATTCGGATTTCAGATATTTAGGCGAAAATTAAAAAGAAAAACAGTGTCTTTATATTATTTAATAAAAGCAAAATTATGCTAGGTAGATTCTAATCTACGGTCTTTCAAAAGTAACTATGAGTAAAGTCGGATACGATCATATAAAAACGTGGTACGCTGTCCAGTTGAACATTTTTTTGAACTGAAATTTAATTAATCGTCATTCTCAAATAATATCGTTCCCAGTGTGTAGTCATAAATAATTCCCACTACAATAATATGGCTAACAAATTCACTTTGTCTAGATCAAAGGTTGTGGGTTCAGTTCTTACATGCGCGGTTGTGGTTGTGCACTGTTGAGGAGTCCTACACTTGGACGACTCTATCATCCAGTGCTTCCGGGTTTTCGATGGTGCTCTAACATTTATTGGTTCATAATTTCAATAAAATCCAACAGTCTCGACATACCCTTATTGACAAGTTGTGGATTATTTTTTTAACTTTTGAAGATCAGACAGCAGACAAGAGACGACATAGACCATTTACGCTAAACTTGATTTGAGGGCATAAAATAGAGAAAATAAGGTAAGAGAGAAAACTAGAGGAGATTTAGGGATTTACAGCAATCTTAAACTGTTGCGACTTTTGCTTCTCTTAGAGGTCTTAATTTATTTCCTGATATAAATGAAATAAATGAACCTTAGTTGCTTAGTAAACATTATTTTCATTCATGATTATCTATTTGTTATCCGATATGGATATCTTCTTTTGAACAGCTGAATACTTGAATTTTGTCAAATTAGTCGCTTTCTCATGATTATGATATTATTTGATTTGTTTTGTGATGTTGTGCTTAACAACTGTGTTGGTTATTATAGTGAATTAAATTCAAAATGTTCTATCGATTAGTTTTCTCTCTTTGTGGCAAATCTATTTTGAATGTACGTGAAACAAAGTATGAATATAGCTAATATATAATCAATGAGTAGTTAGCTAATGTATCAGAAAGAGATACTAAGTTCTAGTTGTTTAGAGCTTACCTTGGTTTAAATTACCTAAGAGTACTCCATCCACGTGCAAATCTGATGAACCATATTGTTGGCCTAACTGACGTGCAAGTGTACGTAGTTTACGTTTCAGCTCCAACCTTTCGTCTTCTAGTTTTTCGATCTAATTATGCACATTTAGATTGACAACAATTTAGACATGTTAAATTATCTCTAGACACATAGATCATAAATTAATTCTCATTATTTTTTATTAGGTAATAACAATATGCCCAATGCCTAAAATATAACAAACATTTTTAGTTTCATATACTGTTATGTCAGGATTTTACTCACACGGCCATTGAACGATAACTTTGAATGCTTAATAATACGTGAATCAGACAATAATAAGAAATTTTATTATCAAACCAACTTTTCGATTATATTTATTTTATTTGGGATTCATTTTTCTAACAGAGTAAGAATATGATACTTAGACTAAGATAATGACGATTTTGTCTGTGGTTCTGAAACAAAGTTTTACTAGACTTTATTCTCCTGTTTGTCAACTGATAGTGGTGTGCTTTCTTGTGGTACCATACAGTGATTTCTGTCACCCTAATTTATTTTTATATGTCGCTAAAGATGACTTATATAATTTAATTGGTTGATAAGTCTAATATGAAATTTGTAGGTTCTCCAAATATTGAAGTGAAATGACTAAACTGCTGAGGAGCTTTAGACATTTTGCCCGCAAGAATGTGTGCACTAGAACAAAAGTTAAATATACTTAGATCAGAATGTGCAGAAGGAATAATTAAAAAGTGAATCTCAAGAACTCAGCAAAGTTAGTTAATAAACGTGGTTTACATGTGTACATATACAAACTTCATCATTAGTATGCGTATCGAATAATATCATAAAATTATTGAACAATATGCTAAATATCTTTACAACCTGTTGAAGTCAGATTACCGCCTAATTGTATGAAGATAAAATAGGATAAAATTTTCCACATGAAGCTACAGAGTGAAGGCAAGGCACTGAACACAAAAATCTACTTCACTTTCAAAAAATGCATAAAAAGTGTTTACGTACTTCTTTTTGTAGTATTATATTTACTGCACGATCTTCTTCAACTTCTGCTCGTTTTTGACGACGGTAGCCATTCAGATCAATTTTTTCAATCAATGGTATTCCAAGCTTACTTCTTAAATGTTCATTTTCTAAATTTATTTCATTAAGAGATGACTCAGCTTGACTTGCTAGACGACAAACCTCTTCCAATTGTCTTTCTTTTGAGTTTAATTGTAATCTAGTAGCTTTTAATTCAGCAATAGCTTCTGATAAACCATACTCTCCTTCTTCATAACGTTTTAGTTGCTTTTCTAAAATAGTTACCTCGTTGGCTTGAGACTGAGCAGCTTCTTCAGCCTGAGTACATGAAGAATAAATCGACTGATTAAGTTCTGAATGATTGGGACAAGCTGAAACAACATTTGAAGGCAGTTTACTAACTGTATCGGAACTAACTGTCTGCTCTGTCATATAATATTGGGTTCACTGTAATTTCTTGCAGAAAATAAACGGACATACTTGAGGAATATCAGGAAAAAATACATGAAAATCACTATCTGTATAGTTGGCAGTGTTTTAATATATATAAGTTGTTATGTCCCGACAAGAATAATAAATGGTAACTTTTGGGATCTATGGATGGACCAATAATCAACGTATATTTCTATTGTATAATTATTGAGTAACTAAACCATGCATATTCATATTCCTCTTATTATAAGCTTTATTTTGACCTATAAACTATTATTATACATTTTACCATTCTTGAGTTATACCCAGTATATTAATTACTACCTCCCTCATTCACAGCCACATCTGGCTAAATCTTGTACAAATGTTATTTTCCATTTTATGGTACGATGTGGTCTGCTTGATTGGTATATAAACAGAGTATGTTTAAAACACAGGATTCATATCGCAGAGGCTGAGATTGGTATTCTGGACTTAACTGGGTGGGCTAGGTGAAAAGCAGGATCAATCAAGACTCTAGACTGCTCGCACGTGTTTTGCGCCTCCTTGGTCCGGTCGATAATTCACTGTCCTCTAATTGGCGGTTACAAGTTATAACATGAGTGCTAACACACCTCAAATAAATTCTACATGAAAAAAATGCAGCCACTTACATCTTTTGGCAATTTAATCTTGTGACCATTTAGCGAAAGCCCTAAAATGAATTTTATGTGATGTGGAAATCCTCGAAGTGCTTTCCAAATATGATTTACCACAATAAAAACATTTTTATCCAGCACTTTAGTTAGCTAACTATGCTTCTAAGTTGAATTCAAAACAGACAGACTTATAGGGAAATATATTCTGTGTAACAGTCTCAAACTCTTGGCAGGAAATTCCATGCTAGAAGGATCCACATCTCATCTGTTTGTTTTGCTAGATAGAGGTTGTATCTGATACTTAGTGTCGCGGGTATAATAATAAGCGTAATTTGTCAGTCTCACAACCTTCATTGACAATAAACTAAAAACAACTACTATCCAACTTAGTCAAAAGATATCTTAGATTTATGACATAAATGTGTTTTAATCGATGCATATGTAATGCTAAAAGACGTATTCACAGATGAAAAACGTAGGTATTTATCTTAAATTATTCGACAAGAGCAGCAGAACTCCCAATGAGCTTGCCAACCTAAATGTGCCACACATGAGGATTTACCATATCTACCATCGATTCGACTAATCTAAAACAAGCAAGCACAATTGAAAACTAAGTGCTGAGAGAATCTAGGCCAAGTTGTTCTCAAAGCAATGCAGTGTTCAAAAAATTTGGGGCTAAAACAAATGGTGCTAGCGAGTTTATGCTTTTTGTCTGCTTTAATCATAATAACAACCAAATTTATTCAGATAAAGTAAAACTTTAGGCTCTTATGATAATGTCAGCGACTTACAAAGTTTATTGAGAAAAGACATCATGGGGTCATCTTTTTTGTAATAGACATATATATGGTTAGTGTAGAATTTCTTCGTCAAATAAAATAAGATTTCTTATATTAAAAAACAACCTGGTATATTCTCAAGACAACAAGTGAAAGCATGAAGGTGTATACAGTTAGGTTTTCAAAAAATATCTTCATAACCTACAAGCTCCAACCTTTTCTCCAGTTCGGTGTTAAGGTTTTCTTTTTCTTGAAGTTGTTTTTTAAGGACAATAATACGTTCAGCTTTGCGACTACTAGGATCAAATTCATTCTCATTTGCTTGCTTCGCGAGTTCGTTTAAAAGAGTTGTGCTTTTCTCAACTTCATTTGTAGCATCCGTAAGTTGTTTTTTTAGGGAGTGTATCTATTTGAAACCAATAACACAAATGTTACATGACATAAGATTATAAATAATATTTGGCTTGAATAATTAGCTAGATATGTTTTATGAGGATAAATGACACACTAACGTCTCACAGACCGATATTCAAGGAATCGGTTTAAATTAGCAATTGAATATTTCCTTATTTACAGTGAAATTCAACATTTGGATATACTTCAGTAAATTGCCACATATGGACTACAAAGATTGGATTTACAGATATCCGTAGCCTATGGACACAGGTTTGAGGTGTCTTGTACTTTTTGATGACTTTACGATGGCTTTGTAAGAGTACATTAAAGTTACAGTAGATTTTTCATACAAACAGTAGAAAACCAAAAAATTTGATGTGAAAAAGAGTCTAAAAAACATCAATCTCAATTTTCAATTGTCTATCTGAGAAATTTATTGTGTATTCAGTAACGTCATGAACTTAGTCTGTATAAATTACTAATTTCCGAATTTCCTCGTCACTTTTTTATCTCATACCCTAACGTGATTAGAGTTATTTCGTATAAACTAGGGTGCTCAACGATCAATACCAGTCAGATTAGACCACTCCCAGTTCTCGAACTAGTATCGTAGTTTACTTAACTAAAAAATAACCATTATACATAAAGATTTAAATTAACTTATCAAGTTCTATTGCTCTCGATTTTTTAAAATTAGATACAATCTTTACAACCTAGCTGAGAGTTGGAAAACTGATGTTGATCTTCCTTTTACATTCGTAAGAGATAGTGGCTAACTGGAGGGTATTCAGATGCCATTTGAACCACTCTTTTAAGTTTTCTAATCATCAATATTATATCCCGGACTAACAGGGAATTAATGTGGCTAACAGATGAATTTTTAACACCCGTTTCCCTGATGAGTCGAAATAATTATCTAGTGTTACCCATCGCTGCCATCCTTTCTAGCTTCTTTGCTTCCACATCTTACCACTGCACACGATCATTCTGTACGCCTTTGATTGGTCAAAAACTGAGCTGTTGCCACTATTCATTGTTCTCTAAGCATGTTTGTTCGGATTTTTGAGCATTTACCTATTCACTAGATGCCCATATACATGCCAAGGACTCTCCAAAATAAACCAACCAGTCCATATCAATGCAGGGCCTGGGACAAATGAGTTTTAGTTTAAAATGCAACACCTCAAAGAGGATAAACGATGTCAACGGGTATCTAAAAATTTAAAATACAGTTTAATAAAGATGAAACAATTAAATCAAGGAATAGAAATAGCACTTTTACCCAAACTTTGGGAGATTATAACAGATGGTTTCAACTGCTTTACTAAAGACGATCCTGGACCATATTGCTCAGCACCATCAATTATTGGTCAAAATACTATGTAAGTTTAATTAAAGACATTCAGACGTACCAAAATACGTCAGTGGATTATACAGCCGACGTTTAATGCCCAGTTTTAGCCTTAAGAACTTCAATAAACAAAAATTCTTCAAGTTAAAGAAACCCAACGATTCAAACCTTTTACATTTTCGTTTGCACATTGTGCTTCTTACAATTTTTGCTTTTAATAGGCCTATTCACTTTGCTTTCCACTCATGTCCCTACTGCAACCCATTATCTCGTTCGGAACCGTAATGTACCCTTCTCAGTAATTAATTTTGTGCAATCGATCTATTCATGTACAGTATTTTAAAAGCTTTTGTTTTAAACAAATACACACGACTAACGCTTTGTTGTACAAAACGAATCCCATGTTGTGTAGTGGTTTGTACTCATCGACTTTCATCACCTGAACAAAAAGCAGATGAGTTAGGAGAATGTAAGGCATAAACTATCATAGCTATTTACCCTGAGAAGTTAAAACGCACAAATATGTACCAGATTTTAGTCATAAATAGAGTGAAAATACTCATAAATGTGATCAAAAACGATAGTAATCAGTTTAGTTACCTGAACATCACGATCTTTTATGGACTTCATTAGGGCTTGTACACTGGTTTTATCGGAGTCAGCTTTAAGATCTCTCAATTCCTGAGAAAACTCTATTATTCGTTCATTAAGCTTAACTATTTCCATGTCTTTGTCTGCCAGTATCTAAAAATTACTGAGAAATGAATTTCAGTACCTCTTTCCATTCCTCAATCTTCTGTTCAACAGCACTCATGATAAGGTTATTTGTTTCTTCAGGATGACCAATCTTTTCGGAAAGATTGGCTAACTGAGCGCGCAACATACTGCATTCAGCCGACTTTTCTGCGTGACTTTTATCAGCTTCTGTTAAGGCTTCTTTCATTTTCACATAGTCATCGGTGGCTCGATCGATTTCCATGCTGGCTTGCCGAAGGTTGCTCTCCAAACGATTGATGTCACTCCATAAATTCTGTTTTTCATCTTCTAATCCCTGATCAAATAGTTAAATAACTATGGTCCTTACATCTATTTCAGCTTTCTGTACCCTTATTTTTGCACGTAAGGAGGAAATTTCTTTTCTGTAATTAGCCTCATCATTACTTCTACCGAAAAAGCTGGGTCGATCCTGAAGTTGCAGGTGCAAGTACTCACAACGCTCCTGAAGTTCCTTATTTTCTTTTGAAACCAGTTCCACTTTTCTTTCCAGATCACCTTTTTCATTCAAAAGTTCTTCTTTTTCTTTAAAAGAGGCATCTTTGGCTATCTTTAGGGATTCTAGTTCAGATTGCAGTTTGACGACTTTAAACTCAAGTCTCCTCGTCTCACCAATGCTTCCTCTATCAAGACCAGAAGCAGAAATTGCTTTTTGCAAATCTTTGTTTTCTTGTTCTAGTTCCCTTATTTGATCTTTCAGATTATTTATTTCTGAGGTTTTGTCCGACAAGCTTGTCTCTGATAACTTCCATTGTTCCCATTTTAGGTTAAGCAACGTCTGAGTAATTTGAAAAACATGCTTAAGTCGATCACTATCATCCCAGTCCTCAACATTAGCCTGAAATAATCAAATAATGTGGAGAATCTGCGCATACATCTAAAAACAATTGGCAGTAATAGTTTGCATTGTCTATATCTATGTCAGCTTCATTTAACTTCGCTATTTTATCCCACGAGAATTCCAACATGATTCTCAACAATTTACATTAGCAACGTAATTGAATTTCCACACATATTACCGAAACGAATAAACACCAACACATCAACTCCAGCAGTCCAATGCCTCGTTAAATTTTAATTGTTAGTAAATTTAATTTAAGATCTGCAGATTTCAACGGCATCTCATTTTTAAACTTGAGTTATTTTGAATTAAAATAATGATTTGTATATATGGAAAAGCGTGAACTTTGTGCCCAACTTTCAGAAGTCTCAAGGATTAAAAACAATTCCGATTCGGCTTGAGTAGGAACCTCTACCACCTTTACTGGGTACTACTGAGTCGATATATCAAAAGCATAGTTTGGGACGAGTCAGCTTGAGGTGTCAGATCTGGATTCTCAACACAGAAACGTTAAAATACACTTCTCATATGGGTTCTTTTGTGTCCAACTACTGAACGGCAACATCCTGACATAATGATTCAACATCATTTGTTTTTCTATGGTGCACAGATCGCAGCTGCGACAGTTGTGGACAAAATGGAAATGGTTTTCTCCTGAATCCAAATAACTTTTTGTTAGTTCTACTTTGAATCAGCTTTTAACAAGATTTCTCCTACATGATATCAGGCTCACGTGTCAAAGTAAGTTTTTGATCAGTACAACATACTTATAATGAAGAGGACGTCGTGTCATTAGACTTAATCAAAGTGGAAGCCGTAAGTTTTTTGCCGTTTCGAACTGTCGGGACTAGACGTTTCTTTGCTTTAGTGTTATGCTTATTCTAGTTTGAAGAGTAGATATATACCATACATCATGAACAATCCTGATATTGCTTACTTAGTCGTAGAAAAGCAAAAAATCTAGCCACTCGAAAGTGTAGACTGTACGCCACCCATCATTCTAAAATATAGCCGCAATAATAAACAACCACACAGAACAAGTACTTTTGGGAAGCAATGCATTCTCAACTACAGACTCAACGTTTCATTAATCACGTAAGGATGAGAAACTATCACACCACTTAAGATTGATGAGGATCCTGTTGTCTATTTAGAAATCAAAGGACTTCCATTTTATGCACATAATATAATCTTCACTTTCCCTATGATTTTCTGGTTGACATGTCTTTAAAATAAGATTAACCTTCGATTTTGATAATATTTGTAATTATGCTAATTAAAAATTCTTTCGTACATTATTTTGCGCCTAGTTCGAACTACAAAAACGTCACCTTGATTTTATTATCGGCATTCTCTCTGACTTTGACAGTGACTTACACGTGACCATTAGAGTACTAATTTGACTGTTATAGGAATTACTATTTGTCATACTGAATTTAATTACTTCTGTATATCACAATAAGTCAAGTTTGCAGTCCACTTTATTTTTTTTCACTAGGACCACGTGGCACAAAGTTGTACTGGTACATGTCTCAATTAGAGCAAAATGCTAATCAACTAAACAGTTCTTTGACTTACATGGACGCTAAATCTGGATCTCGCCTTGAAGTTAAGAGCTGTCTTTCAAATCTCAGATCAACACCCTCTTACTTAAGTCAATACTATACTGGATTGTCTTCTTAAATCATCATCAAGGTCACTCGACAGCAACCATATGTAATGTAGGGCCTTTGACTTGCCAGTTAACTTCCTGAAACAGAACGAGATGAAAGTCACCATACGTAAACAACACGTTTTCAACAATATGGAAGTACTATCTATTTTAGACTACTAGTAGTTTAGTTACAGATGTTATCTGCTGGTATATAATTTCAATACTTTTATCAGGATCAGAAAACATTGTTCCATAAGATCATTACAACACGACTAAAATCATCACAGCCATATAAAATTATTACTTTTCTTAGTCTTACTGTATTTTTTTAACAGCCTGTTCGACATTGAATAGATGTTTTAAATAAATCCTTAACTTCTATGGTTATTGTTGCACCCTGATTTTTGATCGGTTGCTTGTGCCTACTTTTAATTTAGATAGAGTGAAGTATTTATTTCATGGAGAACTCCAGCTATTGAGTATGTCTTGTGTCATAATGCATAATCCTGATTATTGGATAGTATAACAATATGCTAGTTAGGCATCTATACTATTCGACTTGGTCTAATAGTGAGATTAACTTTAGTATTAAAGTATTACAAGTCAAATCACCAAATAGATTTCTATCATATCCCACATGAGTAACGGCAAATAAGAAATATGCAGCTTGCTGTTCTTATTCATCTCTGTCGCATTCTAGATGGACTCTGGAATTTCTTCGCCAATTGTTTTATAATTTTATTGACTTATTTTCCAAAATCCAGCTTCTGTGTTAATAAGTATCCCAAAACGTTCCTTGTTCACGCTGTCCATATTAGTTTTACTGGACACCAAGCGCGTGAAGGCTCTTAATTGAAGGCTTACATTACATCAAGTTTCAGTTTATCATAGATTTCTTCTACATCTTCAACTATTTAGTATTGAGGTTTAAAATTCCACTGCTTCTGTATGTGAATCAGACAAAGTTTTCCAAACAAGAACAATCACCTTTCTTTCTTTATCTTCCGTTTGTCAAAATATAAGATACTCAATGGTATTTTGGCCATTGGCTCAGATTCGTGCAACTAGTTCTATCAATAATAATCTCATGTGTTCCATGGATACGTTGGTACCATGTACATTTTCTCATATCGATTTTGCTTGATAAAACATCACCGGTCATCGAATTCTGTACGAAGTCAGCATACATCTACTTTTAAAATATTAACAATTATGTCAAGAGCCTAACAAGTTATTAGAAATAAAGAAATCAAATTCAAGTTTCCTTCAATAATTCTGACGCTACCATTAGCTATTTGCCCTCATCTCTTGTTGCTTTACAACTCGACGTTGTTCACCTGGTTTTTTTTATTGAGATAAAAAATGTGGGTATTGTGGATTGTAGTAATTTCCTGTATTTCATTTAAATCCTCTTGGATCTGTACTAAATCAACTAATAAACAAACCTATTATGTCATAAAAATGCAAGAATTAACCTTGTTTAATTCGATAGCGTAGTTTAATGGTTTTTTCTGTTGTTATCACACCCTAATTATTATTTCTTAATTATTTCAAGTGAGTCATTCTCATAATTTTTAAAGCGAGCAAAATCTCTTAGATACCTCGGTTGAAACAATCCAAAAATACTTTTTAGGCTGACATACAGCCAAAATATGTGTATTTCTAGGTACACGGTTTCAACTTTTGCCTAGATTTGACACTAAGTCATTATTGCAACTGTGTTTCCTATAATTTGTATGTGTTACTAAACTATAGCCGGATTTTCTTTTAAAATTAATCTACCTGAATTATGGCCACATGAGTGATTCTCAAGGTCGCAAGTCTTGCTGTTCTTTTTGCCTTTTTCACTTATGTCATTAATAAGACGTTTGCAGCCAACTCTTAACCAATCAACCTAAGTTGTTACACCCTAAAGTGAAGCGTCTATGCAAGATTGAGGGTCCTGGGTTTGAGTTCAGAGCGGGGATTATGGATGCCCACTTTCGAGTAGTCCCATACTGGGACGAAGGGTCTTTATACATCATGTGAACAACTTGCAACACTGTAAGATCGAGTACCTTAGGCCCAGATGATAAATCGGATATAACACTCAAATTAGACAACCACAACTATCAATTAAACAAAAATTTAATAGACACCGTTTCGGCTGTCTTTTTCATCGTCGTTAATAACAGTAAGTTACATGAGGCATGTCAGTTGATGGTTAAAATTAAACGTTTATATGTGATTTACCAACGGTCACTCTGAAGAAGGTTTTACTATGATCAACAAATTATGACAGCCATGAACTTCTTGTAAAAAATAGAGAATAATAATACATCAGTGTAGATGATAAGTTGAATCATAACATCTCTGATTACGTTAAATCTGAAAAGTATAATTCAAGAGTTAGGCGTGCAATTACAATAGGATAATATCAGTGCTCTTTCTCTGTTTCGTCAGGACGATTACTGGAAGTTGAACAGTTATACAAGTGAAGTATAGCTATTTTTGATGCGAAATAATATTTCAAATACATATAAAAATATCTTTTGGCTTTCTTTTGGAAGTCCCCATATGATAGTTATGCTAAACTTCTTGTGGAAAAAGCCTTTACAGAATTTAAACTAAGCGATTTTAGTTATGGTGCATACGAATGTTTGAATAATGGCATAAAACAAAGGAAAGCATTTCATATTTGTATGCTGAATGTTCCATCATGATGATAAGCAATACAGAAATAGGCAGGTAAAAATGGACCAGGAGTTGAGCAAATAGTCGTGATTATACATAATTAGCATCCGTAGCTAGCAATGCTTCTAGACAGTCTATAATATGTTGTATCAATCAACTGTTAAGTTTTGTCTCAGTAGATGGGCATTTAATCAAAATATTCACGTCACTATCACCGTTACTTGTTAACAAGCACTTCTGAGGCTATTTCAGCACGTGCGTAGTGTCGGTTACGTTGTTAGGCTCATATAAATCATTCCAGCTTATGAACAGGCTAATCTATTCATTCTACTTGAATCATATTTTAGCCTTTGTAATTACTGGTTTATCAACCTTGACTGTTTAAATATGAGCGTATATGCTTCACTTCTCATCCTACTCATCATATTTCAGTAGTTTATTTTTCATCTGGCTATAAATATCAATTAATGTTTGATCAAATCGAGTTAGCTCACAGGCCTTCTCCACTGCATGTCATTTTGCCTCGCTCTCTTCTCTTCGCTACCTTTGCTCCATTGCTCAGATTGTCTGCCCAGATCAGTGAGTGTACATAATATATTTATTTCAGTCTTCAGTCTTCAGTAATAAGGATAGTAGGTTGATGATCCTGTGTTAATCCTGACACATTGCTTTCCAGTGAAGGTCCAGCTTTTCCTTGAAAGTATTCACTGATGGGGCTGATACCACTTGCTCGGGTAAGGCGTTCCAATGATTGACTACTCGATGAGAAAAACGGGATCCCACTTTAAGTTTATCAGATCGTGGTTTATGAACCTTCTTGCTATGACCTCGGAGATTATTAGTGCTGGAGGGAGCAAAAAGATAAGACATATTAACACCCAAATCATAATTAAAGATACGAAATGCCAGTATAAGGTCACCTCGTGTCCTACGATACGACAAGGGGAAAAGATTTAGGCGTTTTAAGCGCTCATCTTAAGGGAGTCTAGAAAGACCCTTCACTAATTTCGTTCCCACATGCTGGACACGCTCAAGGGATTTAGTATCCTTTACTAGACACGGGCTAGCTGCTTGGATACAGTACTCTTAATGTGGTCTAACATATATGGGATGTAAAATTCGAAACGTTTCCTCGTCAAAAGATTTGAACGCTCGGCGAAGTGACCATAACGCACGAAAACCTTTGGCAGCGGCTGCTTTGCAATGCGCAGTTGTTTTTAAGTCATGACTTAATATTACTCCTAAGTCCTTATGCTCTTGAACGCATGGAAGAGGTTTACCCTCAATAGTGTAACGGTAACTATTACCGTGACTGACGTGCATTAGTACACTCTTCCTAGCATTGATTTCTAAGCCCCACTCTCGAGCCCATCTAACTAAATCGTCTAAGTCAGCTTGAAGATCCACATGATCAGCCGCACTTTTTATTGTTCTCCAGATTTTTACATCATCTGCAAACAATAATGTCGACGACCTAAGTAACAGTGGTAACTCATTAACGTAGAGAAGGAAGAGCAGAGGGCCTACGATGGTGCCTTGGGGTACACCACTTTTGACCGGCTTCCAATCGGATAGCGTTCCATTGACCCTAACTCTCTGTCTGCGGTCACATAAGAAATTTCCTATCCACTCATGTACAGTATCTATTATTCCGAAGCTTGTGAGCTTCTGCATAAGACCTACGTGTGAAACCTTGTCAAACACTTTGCTAAAATCTATGAATATCACGTCGACAGACAGACCGTGATCTAGGGCTGCTGTCCAATCCTCCCTTGCAATAAGCAAGTTAGTCAAGCATGAACGCTTGTTACGAAATCCGTGTTGCTCAGGAGCTAACAGAATGTGTAAATCTATGTGGCTTAGCAACCTAACCCGAATTATCTTTTCGAGTAACTTAACGACTATGCTAATTAGACTGACAGGCCGGAAGTTAGATACTATCTGTCGCTGACCGTCCTTAAATATAGGACTAACTATAGCGTCCTTCCAATCTCTATGGAGTCGAGCGAGTGAGGGAAATGTTGAAGAGTGTCGCAAGCGGTTTTGAAATAATGTCCACAAGAGATGACAGCAACCGTGGATGTAACGCGTTAGGGCCCGGTATCTTACCAGGTTTGAGGTTAGTTATCAACGGAAGGACAGTTTCCTCGGTCACCTGTACAGATTCAATGGTTGGTATCTCGGTGTGAGTGGGACAAGTATTTGTTACAATAAACGTAGAGAAGACTTCGCTAAAATAATCTGAAAAAGTCTCAGCTTTTGCTCGATCTGATTCAGCTAGTGATTCTGAATTTTCGTGTAACAGCAACGGGGGAATACCATCACTACGTTTCATTTGCCGTTTAACACACGAAAACAATCGTTTCGGACAAGTACGGCTATCATATACTAACTGTCGTTCGTAAGTGGTACGGGATTTCGCTATGGTTTTCTTACAGATATTACGGTATTTTTGGTACTCACGCTTAAATGGTGCATTACCTGTCAACAAGAATAAGTCCCAGAAATGTTTCCTACGCTTTAACAGCTTCCGGGTTTCCTTATTAATCCATGGAGGGCAATGTGATAGCTTACGTGCTGACCATGGGATAAACAACGACGTTACGGACTCGAATGTAGCCTTAAACTTATTCCATTCATCTTCGATCAATCCATCCGCGTCGACAGACCAATCGGTCAAGATAGCACGGTTTCTGATTTCCGGAATATTAGCTCGCCAGATATAGGGACGGGGTGGTGCAGATACGAATTGTATACCATGCGTCCTAAACTTAAAGTGAATTACAACGTGATCACTGTTCACTAGTGGAGGAAGGTGCTGGATATCAAAGACATCCTCAGAGTGGTGGGTGAAGGCGAGGTCCAGCAGTGACGGAACATGTTGCAAATCAATGTGTCGGTTTTGTGATACATTGTACAAGTGCACACTGAATAACGGTAGATAAAAGGTCGCTATCGAAGCCACTACCTGGAGCTGTAAGCTCTATCCAGTTGATATGCGGTGCGTTGAAGTCCCCAATGATGAGACAACATTCTGCCATACTCCAAGAACAGATGTGTCTTAGGATAAAGTCGTCAGCCAGACAAGACGGACTACGGTATATTCCCCCTATAGTCACTAACCCATTTCTAGATTTAATCTTACAACATGCAACCTCACATGTGCAACTGATATGAGCCTCCGATATGGTTGATTGTATACGAAAGTGATCCCTAACGTAAAATATTATACCTCCCCCCTTGCGACTTGAAACTCTATCACTTCTGATACAGGTATAACCAGCAGTGAAAGGAGAACAGTCTATATCAACGGTGAACCAAGTTTCTGTAACAACGATTATATCGGGACATAAATCTTGCACCATCAGACTTAGCTCGGACGTTTTATTTCTAAGACTACGAGCGTTCGTGTAGCACACACTTAAGGTGTTTTAGAGATCAATCGTTCTACCCATACAGGCCTCGGAAGCATTGGCTTCCAAGACCTGACTACCCGAAAACCCTTAATGGTAAGGTTATTTATGCCATTTAATTTGCGAGTCCTCAACTCCGTAAGAGCATTCTTCCACTTGATTCGATCCTCAAGCGGCCAATCTGGTCGAATACGGATATTTGAGGCACGAGTTTTTAGTGCGCTTTTCAATAATATGTCTCTTTCTTCGAAACTCCCGAGAACCAGCTTCAGGATCCTTCTTGGTTGGGTCTCGCCTCCAACCCATTTACCAAGTCGTATTACTTTTGTGATATGTACCCCTGAAACCTCTTCAGGTAGTACATTCCTCACCACAGACTCCACTAACTGCAGGTCATGTGCGTGTCTTTTAGCAGGGTCGTTGTCTTTCGACTCCTCTAGATTCCGAATAATTAAACTAGGGATGGGTTTAGCTTCTTTTGAAACTGTGTTCACAGCTTTCGACCGTGACGTTAGATCCTGTATTTTAACTACTGGTAGCTTACGAATAGTTTTTATTTTAACAGAGTCCTGGGAGTCAAGCAAATGACTAACAACAATGTCAGACGAAGCTTTACTATGAGACTTTGGCGGATTGGTCTGAGAGTCCACCAAGGACTTACCAAGTAAACAGTCATTAGTTTTAGCTATCTTTCCTACTCTTCTGCGTTTTCGCGCCATCCATTTTCCATCAGTCGAAACGTCTACATTAGAACAACTCGGGACAGTAATTGTTTTATCTGGGTCACCGGTTGCTGCTGTAGCAATATGGCCACCAACGTCTAATGACGTGTCACTCACTGATCGTTTCGAGGGAGAACGTTTAACTGCGGGTTGCACAGGTAGATGTCTAGCTTGCGCCGTGATAGCACTTACGACACTAACGCAATCTTCGCCATCCGTACCAATGTTATCAGTACAGCCCTCATCAACCTTCTTATTAGCCAACACCAGGAGACTAATTTCTTCCTGGATAAGCAATGTTTTGCTCGAGCAACAAAAACTACAAAGCCAATGAGAGTTGGACTTTGAGCACCTTTTATATGCAGTGGGGCTTAATCGGGTGCACATCATATGGAACCACTTATTACACTCATCACATTGCATCCCTTCATCCACGAGAAATAAGCAGTATGGTTGTCCACATTTATGAGTAGACGTAGCCATCTTGAAAATCAACTAGAACGGTGACAAAAACAGGATCTAACTGACATCTAAATATATGCCCCCATTAAACATCCCTTATCAAATTTGGAAACATTTTCTACAGTACTAGAGGCTGGCGAATAGATTTTGGTAACTAGTAAGCTCATAAAGAAAAGCAAGAGTAATCTCCCCAAGAGAATTACTATTCGTCTAATGTTGTACTTTTCTTGTTAAGTATATTAATACAAAACCTGAGTAGAAAACTAAGCTACCTGCCGATGACAGAAATAACTAGTTTCACTAACTAAAGATAAGGTATTATCACTTTGATAAGACAGGGAACTAACACACATATTGAATAGTTATTGATATTTACCAATAAGGACTTAATTTTGTTTTATTCTTCAACTACCCTGAAGGTTATGTGTCGTCCTACACAATATTTTAAAGAGACAATATGTTAACGCAATGTCACAGAGATGATGGTTCTTCTTATCATTGTAAACGAAGAGACAACTTTGACTAATTATGTGTGATAGCGACTCAGGACTATCTATAAGCATGAATGGGAGTCAAAATGATTCACCTACTCAAGGTCTTGTTTTCATTAGAGTCACTATGCCAGACGAGACCAGTGAAGTAATACAATACTTGTGTGATAACCTTCTGAAGACATTTAGTTTCAGCCCAACAGATTTAATCGTGGATGTCAAACTCACAGCTATAAAAAGATCGAGTTCTTGCTTAAAGGATGAGTTGAACTATGGTCTGTTTCTTCCTCCGTCTAAAGGAAAAGCTGGAAAGTTCTTGCAAGAAGACAGAATGTTACTAGACTATCCCTTCGAGGGTTCGGTTGGTCACTTAGAGGTAATTTTATATTTTCGGTGTTACTTATTTTTTAGTTGAAATATAAACAACGCGTCTATCGTGTTTTGAGAACAAATGTGAATAAGCTCCGTAAAATAAATACCAAGGTAAGGAATTTATAAGAGCATCTATCATTCACTCATGATGTGTGAATGATATTGTATGGTCCACCTTTGCATGTTTGAGAATTTGGTGATAGCCAATTTTCCGAAATTTCACTATCTTCGTGAAGTGTTTACTAAGTTGCCTGGATTTTGATTCTGTCAAGTCTTTGTGGGACGGTTTGTAGACATTAGATTTGTCATTGATTAAAAATCTATCATTTTGGCAGAAACGGGTTAACAAAGTTGTATATTTTCGTTCTGAAGAGCCACATAGCCATTTTTATATACAACTGGTTGCTTGATTCACGTTCTCAGTTTCCAGTTGAAAAAATAGCCAGTGCAAACACAGTCCTCCAACAATTTTGTTTTCATTGGTGACCTGATTTTTGTTCCTCATATAATATTTAAAACTCATACTGCTGAAGCTACATACGAACAACCGTTCGATAAAATGATGGTCACAGAAACAATTATATGACATATTTATTCGAATTAATAACGAATGATGAAGCCGTTTTTGAAGTGTTTCATTGGCATGGTTACATGCATTTTCACTACTAAAATATTTGGGAAAAATATTTATCCTCTAGGTTATACATCCGGTCCAAACATTTTTATTTTTCAATCACTGAAGAGACTATAATAACTGAGTAAACATAACCTGGGACGCGCACGAATGGACATAATTTTTAGATTAGACAATTAAGTTCACTGGTTTTGTAAGCAGAAACAAGATACGAGTAAAAAGTAAAACAGTTTTTAATGGTTCCTCTAAGTGTTGTTCTAAAGGTTTGAATTGTGTCTAGTAGTGCATTTGTATAGTAGGGAGAATTTATCAATGACTAAAAACAACGTATTTGTCTACACACAGCTAAGACACAGCCATATTCGGGAATTTTTATCCTAGGTTTACGATTGTTAGCGAAACAAATAAGATCAAACTATGTATGTGACTAGACTGCGGAAATCTAAGCTTTTTTGTCAATATCGCTCACTATACGATCAAATTTTTAGCTATAAGTTATCAAAATGGCGATGTATTTCAAAAATGCTCGTGTTTTAAAATTAAAACTGGTAGCTGTTTGTAAATATATCTGATAAATAAACTATAAAGCCAAAACTGTTTTTCCCGTTTGACTAGATGTTTTAATTAAATGATAAACAATATATTTGTCTGAGTTGCTATAGTGTTTTTCTACCTGCCAAAATGGTCGACCCTCTATATTTGATGTTTATTTAGACTTATCCTAAACATTACACACGTTATCAACCCTATGTCAAGATCTACTGACAAAGGTTTGTTCAGGACGTTCAGGCAAATTTTATAAGATTTCAATTAATATCCGAAGGTAAACCATCGTGTTTGTTTGACCCTTTAGCTTCATACGAGGTATTTTTCATAATCTTTTTATATACTGAAACCAAAGAAACAACTTGATAGGTAAATAGTATTTTACGATGGTTTAGATACAGGAAAATTATTTATTGTCTCCGTCGTAAAGTTATCACCAGTGTCCAATCTGAATACTTCTATCAGGCGCTTTAAAGGTTTTTAGGCCAAAAATCTATATAATCTAGTGCTACCTTTTTAAATACACCTTTTTGCGTCACCGAGTTTATCGTGCTGGTCTGTTATGATCTAGAACATAAAAGTTGGTTCTTTTTGCATTTAGTTTAATGATTATTTTTAATAATAGGAGAAAATCTAGGTGCAACGCAATCCCAAAGTAAAAATTTCGGGTAATTTTAACGATATACGTAGCTCAGTAATAACGTTTTCCAGTAATAAGTTGAGATTTGTAATCATTTTATGAGCAGTTGGTTCTGTCTTCCTTCTTTTTCACGTTTTGTTGACAAATTTCGGTCGGCGTTTGGAATTTTTGATGCTTAAGACTATTTTTGTCATAATTTGACACTTCGATGTTATATTATCTCGGAGTTATTGATGTGTTTATCAAATAATACATATTCTGCACCTCGTATTAGCGTAAGGTCATTTATTTTAAAAAATACCATAGAATGCACTTTTGCCTAATTCAGAATCTTCATGATAGTTGTTAAAAGACGCCGATCAACTATCTATTAAAATTATTTATTGTATTTGAACTGCTCTTCAATCACAATGAAACATATTGTGTGTAAAGTACTGACTGATATTAAACATTAAAAATTTTCCACCAAAAATTAATCTTTAATCAGAAACTATCGAAAACCTTTTTTAATAAAGTGCTTGTTTGCTAACATACACACAAGTTGAATACTTAGCTGTGTGTAAATACAGAACAGATTAGAGTATGTAGTCCATGTAGTATTTATTGCAATATAAATGAACATTTTGTGCGCACTAAGTTGAACCCTGTTGTTAAAGTGTGTGGCACGGTGGATTTGCAAAGCCTGTTAGTATGTTTATCGTTGTTCAAAGACCATACAATGGTTGGCTTAAGCGGCTACTACGAAAAATCGCGATAGGAGAGATAAATTCTGAACTTTGGTGTAGCTTTTTTCTCACTTAATTTAAATGATGAATGTAGCTTTCAATGAAACTACTGTAGTAATCAAAGGATAAAATTTGCCGCAGTTTTAGTGTTTTGCTCTTGTTGGTCGATCCAAAATAAAACTAATAATTTTAAAAAGGATAAAAATTGGTATGTCACACTAGCCATATTGAAGAAGGCATCGAATAGTATGGTATATTTAAATAAAAGCTAAGTTACGTGGGTAATAATGGTTAGTTTTTCATCAGGGCTGTATATCAATATATATGTCTAACAATAATAATAAAATCTGTACCGATCAAGCAACAGTGTGTTGGATTGTGATATTACCAATCGAAAGTCGTCTCTAAATTCTGTCGGGAATGACTAACAAAGTAATAGAGATATGGGAGTTAGTAGATGGACTAGTATTAAGGGATATTTTCATCAACAAATGATTGAGTTAGCATATGCCGTGATAAATTTCATAATATAACCTAAGAAAAATAGGCATGACTTTCAGCTTAAAAGTTTATTTGCCGCCCTTGCTTAGTTATTTTTTCAGCCACTCTCAGTTATTTTCATAAACAAACAAGATTGATGATTGATTGTTTTTGAAAATGTGAGTCAGGTTTGGGACGTATAATAGCAACAGCTTGTCTATGAGATAAATAAATGTGTTACCATCAAGCATCCTTACTTTGTTAGCGAAAACGTTTTGGGAAATATTCAGGAAGCACAAACCACTTTTTTGTTTCTGTTTTTCTTATATTACTCTTTTAACGGGTTGAAATCAGTGTATGCATGCATTTAATAGCAACATAAAAGCGGACTTACCAGATTCGACTGAGCTTGTAAGTGTGTGTTCTACACAGAATGGAAAGTGCAGCTTTATGGTACGTTCCATTTAGTGCACTGTCAGGCGCTTTATTGATTGTTCTTGCAATGTTATCATCTTCAAGGTCAGTGTGGATAACGATGAAATTTTTACTGGATGTAGTGTATTTAGACTTTTGTCTATAGTTTCTCTGTATTTATGGACAAACTTTCATAAAAACCATACATATCTTAGTAACGTCCAATACGTATCGATCCTCCTCTGAATTTGATGGTTATATATTCTTTCTACTCTGTAAAACAGTGCTTTTATCAACGTCTTCTTGGAATTGGCTGGGCAATGACTACTAAAGTTCAGGTATAAGTCACTTCATTAATTCTTTTAATAAACCGGTCGTTTTATTTTACCACCTACTTTCAGTTCTAAGTGGATCTTATCAATCTTTTCATGTTGCATAGTAAGTGGGATGTTTCGATGCTCTTTGTTGAGGATTTCTAACAAATGAGTTTCATGTTGTTGACTGTTAGACTCAATATACTAAACCTCAGCCCATCTAGAACAATGTAACAACTGATCTTTTGTTTTTTTTGAGCCCAGACGTCTCAAGGGCAGACACAGAAATATATGTCAGAACTTTCTAACTCCCAATCGATTTGATGGCATATGGCGCTGTGTGGCTGGAAATGAATTTCCTTGGTATATGGTCCTATGAGTATAAAGTTTCTGACATGTATTTCCACATTGCAGTAAGTAAATTTAGTGTGTTCATGGAACAAAAAGGAATGAATTATAACTATCAATTACCGTAAATTAAAAGATATATATTTGAATCGCATCTAACTATTTCCTGAATTCATCGCCTTATTATAAAAAACCGGATGACCTCTTCTCCTTATAGGGGCACGCTTAACTGATTAGTAGGGTAAATCAATGGATGATTATGATTAGATTGTTTCTTATCAGGTCGTATGCATCGTATATCTTACAAAATGTGGATGTGTGACTAGAATAAATGCTGTTTACCGTATATATGATTTATTTTCAGGATGGCATGCGAAGCCAATCACCACGAATTTATCTGGCAATTAGGAATTTACTTAGTGAGATATGTAAATAGAAACACAACTGTTTGTTACATTTGAGTGGTTCAACTTGATAGCATAAACTAAGCTGTTTATTGAGCACAGACATTGCTCTAACCTTGATAACGTAAAAATACTAAATTTTGCGTTAATTTGCCATTGAATATAAGGTCAAATCATGTGACCAACATAATATGTGGGAGTTTTACAGGCAGTACAGTCATATTACCCATTATATGTATTTAAAATATCTCCGAAATAAACTTTGTCCAGTATTAAAGGAGCTACAACTTTCAGGAGACTTAAACCTAGGTATTAATTTTAAGTTATCTTTCATAGCGTATTGAGACCAGGAGAAAAAAACCATTTTAAATCAAGATGTATTAAATAGCTGTTTTGGCTCACATTGCGTCTATTTACCATTATCACCCAGCTGGCGTCAGTTCATGATAAAAACTAACATTAGTTTAGACGACCTAAATAAACTTCGATCTAAAAAAGATCCTCATCCACGAATGTATTTATTGCTAAATGTTGCTTTTGAACGTTTTTCCTACTATTCTTTACTTGCATTTAAAAGTTGAGCCAAATTTTACTGGAAGTAAAACT